TCCTGCTCTGACGCGTGACTGTGATAGAGAGTAACCTTTGATTCTCAAAGGCTATAGTGATAGAACACAAGTTCTTCCAAGTCCTGCCAAGTTGAAAGGCTACAAATAGGGTCCTTGTGATGGACCATGAGAATTCTTTGCAGAGAGACGGCATCAGAATTTTAGCTTTCAGGTGGGAATTTTTTTTTTAAACTATAGGAACTCATTAAGACAGCCTCTTCAGGTGTGGAAGGGCTATGATGTTTTTTGCTTGTGTGTGGGATCACCCATACCAATAAAATCATGGACCTTTTGAATTACAATACAGACAAGGGGCTGCCTGTTACCTCTAGGATCAAACTCTCTCTGAAATTTAAAGTTGTCTTTATAGTCTGCTCTTCTTACATTTTCAGTCTTCTTACACCTAATTCCCTTCCACACACTGTATGGTCCAATCATAGTGAACTACTTATTATCCACCATACGACCCTATCTCAGCTGTCTCTGTGTCTTTGTTTCCTTGGAATGTTCTTACTTCCTACTTTTACCTCTTAGAATCCCTGGCTTTCTCCACCACTAAGATCAAAACTACCTTTTCCGGGAGAGGCCTCTCCTGGTGTCTACTACTTTCCCCTCCAATACTGCCTTTTATCTGTTTTGTATGCATTACGTATAGCACTCACTCTGGGATACTTCCCCAACCTGGCTCTCAGGACTCAAGCATAGAGTCTCAGAGGGTGGCTGCTACCTGGGGTTCCAGGGGTAACCCTGTGGCTGTCTACTCCAAAAGCTACAACTCATGAACCCACAGTGTACTTCCTCTGACAGCTAGCCAACAGACTCAACTAACTTAGCCAGGGCATTTACTAAGATGAATAATTAAAAACCATAGCTACAAAACATTCCATTCCTCAATAAATCTGGAGAGAACACAAGCATCTATGGGAAGAGGAGGTTCAAACTTAGAGTAGTTTGGTAGTGAGGCACATGTGTGGCAAAGGAAGACGGGGAGGGAGGGAAAGGGAGAAGGAGGAGAGAGAGACAGAGAGAAAGAGAGAGAGAGAGAGAGGGAGGGAGGGAGGGAGGGAGGGAGAGAGAGAAGGAGGGAGAAAAGGAGAGGCCATTTCCTCTTTTTTTTCTCCTGTTTCCTCCTTTTGCTTCTCCTCTTGCTTCTCCTCTTCCTCTGTCTCCCACAACCCACCCCCACAAGTGTTCTAAGTCTTGACTATTTAAAGCTGCTAGGCTGAGAAGCTAATTATCATGGCTGATTTTTTTCTGCTTAGCCAATTACTTTTGCTTCATTTAATTGTTAGAGAAAGATGTCTATACCTTTCTGAGACCTGTTACCTCCTTTCCTCTTTTATCTGTTTTTGTTTTTTTGGTGACATAAACTTAACCCCTAAAGAATGTTTAAAGAAACATAAATAATAATAATATCCAGAAGAAAAAAATTCTGGCACAAGAATAATTTACATCAATATGAATAGTCAAGTTTCCAAAGAATTACAATTTCAAGATGGTTAAAGTCTCTTTATTTTACAGATAACTTTTTGAAAGATTTATTAGAAGTGTTTATTGAATAATTTATCAGAAATTGGCTGGATAGAGATTGAGATCAACAGGTTCACTGGTACTACTTTATCAGTTTTCAGGAAATGTATTCTATTCCAGTGAACACTGAGAAGAATAAAATTAAAAAGGAAATGGAAAAAAAAACATTGTATCTCTTCAAGGAAAAATTAAATTATTGTTTCCACTGTTTGATCAAAATTTAAAGTTCTTTTTGTGGTGAGTTTTTTGTTAAAAGATAATCATATAAAAATTTATAATGGAGAAATGCAATTTATTTGTCAGTTTATTTTTGAATTTTTTTTTGTTAGAATTACATTTTTATCTTTGCTTTAAAGCCAGGGGAGCAAGGATATACGGATTAAAATCCAGTTGGAGCAAGTTTGAGACAAGAAGGGGACTGGGATGGTGAAAAAACTATCATGTCATTACAAGGATTGGTTGAAAGAAGCGAGGGAGTTGAAGAATAAAAGACGAGGGTAAGGAGTAGCATATAGAACAGCAGTTTTTAAATATATAAAAGACTGTAATGTGGAAGAGAAATTAGAATTGTTCTGCTTGGTTCCAGAAAATAGAACTTTGACCAATGACTAGAAGTACCTGGTAAATGGATTTCATCTTAATAGAAAGAACTTCCTGACAATTAGGAATGTTCCAAAGAAACAGGCCCCCTCATTGAGGTTTGGAGGTAGGGAGAGGGAGAGAGCTGCGAGTTCTTTGTCACCAGAAGGTTTCTAGCAGAGGATAAACTTGGGGATTTAGTATATGGGATTTTTTATTTGGCTAGAGGGAGAATTTCTGAGGCATTTTTGAATTACAAATGTGTGATTTTGAAATGTTTTCAGATTGTGTAACATTTTATGTCCCCATGTAATTTTGATAACTGAAACCAAACTAAACAGCTTTACATAAATCACTTGACCTTTGTATGTCTTATTTTTTCAACAATGAATGAAAATACTTGCCAAGACTTTACTTCTTGGGATATTAAGGGAAGCATTCTCAAAATTAACTAAAACAAAAGCCTTTGGGTCTTAATCTGTATACATAAAACTCCTGGAAACAAGGGCAAAGATTAACAGAAAGTGCTATGAAAATATGTTTGTAAGGCACATGTAAGAAACCCAAAAGACTATTTTATGGAGAACTCACACAGGACAAGCACTCATATGGTAGTCAGAAAAAGCAATACAAGGACATTCTCAAGGTGTCTTTTAAGAACCTTAGAATTGATTGTGTGACATGTGACACGCGACATATGGGCACAGGACCGATCAGCATGGTGTGCCCTCATCAGAGAAGGTGATGTGTTCTATAAGCAAAGCAGAATTGAAGTAACTCAAAAGAGACTCTAGATGCATAAATTTAGAGAATCCACCCCAAATGTTCACATGGACTATTTGTGGCTGCCCTGTGGTAGAACATTCTGAGCTCATACTGGTCTGAACAGCCACAGTCAGACACACTGTAACTTAACTCTAACATACTGATGTCATTTTGGTCCTCTTCCAGAACGAAGGACAACAACCAATCAACCAACCAACCAAACTTTGTGAACTTCAGCAAGTCATTTCATTTACCTGGGCCTTAGTTTTTTTATCTGTAAAATGGAATAGATGATCTTCAATGCCCCTTGCAATCCTTTGATCTGAAATATCAATTCTCTTGATTCTCTGCTCTTTTTCTTTCCTGTTCTAGGAAGATTCTTAGGATATGGGAAGATACTTATGTGATCACTGTGTGAAAAATGAAATTGATTAAATTAGCATTCCTTTGGTGGGCTGACAGGTAGGGCCTCAAACAAGCTATTCTCCTTTCCCCTAAAAAATTACAGGCAGTTTGGCACAGGGGAATGGGATAAACTAGGAATCAGGAGCCCTGGGCCCAAGTCCCAGTTCCAACACTTGTTAGCTATATGAGAATGGGGAAATTACTTCATCTCTCTGGATCTGTTTCTCAGTCTTAAACCAGTGTCCTATAAAACTGACACACTATTACCAGATTGCCTGGGAGGGGGGGAAGGCCCCCACTCCCAAGTAATGAAGTATTTACTCAACTATCCAGATTTTCTGACTAGACCCCTTGTGACCTGTTAACAGCATGACAGCCTGCATTTGTAAGAGTCAGTCAGCCAAGGAGAGGTATCTCATGACCAAGGAGCAGAGTGAAACTATGCAACCCACTCGAGCTAAATATATTATTTTTGCTACATTAGCAGAGTCTCCTTAAATAGCTAACCCAAAGTAGAATATAAACTAAGAAGATAAGCCTTTTTACTTTAAGCTATAGTAGGATCACCATTGCTGGAAGGGTAAATGATCTGGAATGAGAAGACATGCATTCAACTCTTAGCTCTAGGAATTGACCCGTGTGCATTTCTCAATGCTTTAAACAATGGAAGGAAATGCTTAATTTCAGTAAAAAGTTAGATTAAATAAAGATGTAATTTTTCTCCCACTCAAATTCAAAGACCCAGCTTAAGCGGTACATTGGAAGCTAAATTAAGAACCCCAGTTCTAATCTCTTCCTGCCAACATCAGCCAGATCATTTCCCTTTATAAGTTTTGGGCTCACTCTCAATGCTGGCAAAAGCTGGAAGCCTTCATTCCAAACTTTGTTGTTATTATTCAGTCAAGTCCTGACTCTTCTTGACTCCATTTGGATTTTCTTGGCAAAGATACTGGAGTGGTTTGGCATTTCCTTCTCCAGCTCATTTTAGGGTTGAGGAAACTGAGGCAAACAGGGTTAAGTAACTTGCCCAGGGTCATACAGCTATCATACAGTATGTCTGAGGCTGAATTTGATCTTAGGTTCCTGACTCTAGGCCAGGCACTCTGTCCACCTAGCTCCCCAATTATTCCAAACTAGTTTGATGGTTTTATTCAAGTTGCTTAATCACTTCCACTTATTCAGGATTCAAATGGTATCCGGGCAAAGGGGGTGGGGTCATTCATTCGGTGATAGGCTTCATCTTTATACCTAATTCTTCGTTCCTAGCCCTTACCCTTCTGGGGCCTTCAGCTTTTGACCCTTACCCCCAACCTAGAGGATCACCACCACCCCACCTCCCAACACCAGTCCAGAAAGAGGCGTGGTTTCGGCAAGCTTTTACGCTTGCGCAGAAGCCGCCGGTGACGCCAGCGTGTCGTCAGCAGGCGGGTGTCCAGGAGGGGGCGGGGGCCACAGCCAGAGCTCCGCCGCCATCACTGCTATTCCCCGCCCCCTCCTCGGCTCCGCTCAGCTCCACCTCCCTCCGCCCCCCTCCCGGGCTCCCGAGGAGAGACGCAACTGGGAACCCTCTCCCCGTGGGAGCCCAGGAGGCTTTAGCGAGCCCTGGATTCCCCCCTCCCCTGTCGGAGAGATGACGAGCGCACGGGCTCAGTGAGTCCCCTCAGCGGACGTCGGCCGCAGCGGACTGAGCTGTAGCGGCGGAGGGGGGCGCGGCCCGGCCCGGCCGGGGCCGCTCATGGTGTCGCCACGACGCCATCGCGGCGCAGGACGGCCAGGTAGGGAGGGGGAGGGGGCGAGGGAGGCAGGTGGGGCGACCACGGCTGCCGGGGAGGCGGGGGGGGGCGGTGCCCCTGACAGCTGCCGTCCCTGCGCCTCCCCTCTCCTCGCTGCCCTCCCTCCTCCTCCCCAGGTCGTTGCCTTCGCTTCTCTTTAAGAAAAAAAAATCAGACCCCTCCCCCAACGCATTAGCTCGCCCCCTGCCCCCGTTTTTCGGGAGGTGAATGGAGTTTGCTGAGTGACCCTGGGACGGGGAGTGGGAAGGGCGGCGGGCGCGGCCCCCGGGGCCGCCACCCGCCCGGGCCCCTCCAGCTGTTTCCTCCTCCTTCCTTTCCTGCGAGAATTGCCGAAGTCGGGGCGGGAGGTTTGGTAACGGGCTGCCCCGGCCGGCCACAGCCCGAAACGCCTCCCCTCCCCCCTGGCGGGGGAGGGGTCTTCTGACCTTGGGTTCGGTCCGTATTTTTAGCAGCCGTGGGGTGGGGTCTCCGGATCCCCGCGTTGGAAAGTAGATTCAGATGTGGGGGTGGGGGAGAAACAACAGCTAGGATCAACGTAGATCTTTTCGGTAGGCAGCCCCCTTTACAGATATCTCATTTGGTCCTTAAGAACAACCTGGAGAGTAGGTGCTGTTATGATCCTGGTTTTACGTGTTAGGAAACCTAGGCAGACGGACGTCAAGTGACTTGCTTGCCCATTTCCCAGTGTCTGGGGCTGTATTTGAACTTGAGTTTTCCTGAGTCCGGGCTCAGCCATTCATCCACTACTTAAGTGATTGAAACCATAATTATAAAAGCGAGCATTTACACACTGTCCCCAGAGTGCAGTTTTAAGATTTTAATAGACTTTTGGAACACCTTGTAGAGCCCCTTCAAGGTTTGCAAAGCAATTTACAAATGTTGGTCCTAGGAAGGCAGCGCTAGGTGGCTCAGATAACCTGTTGGCGCGGGAGTCAGGAAGACCTGAGTTCAAATCGGCCTCAGTCACTAGTAGTGTGATCCTGGGCAAGTCTCTTAACTTCAGTTTGCCTTAATCTGCTGGAGAAAGAAGTGGCAAACCACTCCAGTATCTTTGCCAAGAAAACCCCATGCAGGGTCAAAAGAGTCCAACACAAGGTAACAAAAACAATAAATTACAAATATTGTCTCATTTGATCCCTTACAACCATCTTGGGAGGAAGGTGCTATTATTATCCCCATTGTACAATTGAGGAAACAGGCAGAAGTCAAGTGACTTTCCAAGGGTCACATAGCTAGTAACCTTCTGTCCTGAGAAGGAGTTTGAACTCAAGCTTATGCTCTAAATTATAGTTCACTCTGCCAGTAGCCGTAGGTGCTATTATTATCCCCATTTTACATATAAAACAACTGAAGTTGAAGAGATTAAGGTACTTGCCCAGGGTCACAAGTATCTGAGGTGTGATATACTGCAAACTCTAGGATATGGGCCTTATGTCTCTATCTCCTGATCTCCCTGTCTTCAAATCCCAGCTAAATCCCTCCTATAGGAAACCTTTTCTGATCACCCTTTAATGCTACAGCCCCACATATTTGTTGATTATCTCCAATTTTTATTGCATGCATTTTGTTTGTGCCTAGTTGTTTGCATGCTTTTCCCCATTAGACTGAGCTCTTTGAAAATATTGACTGTTGTTTTTTGGGGAAGTTTTGCCTTTGCATCCCCTGTTTTGAGCACAGTGCCTAGCACATAGTAGGCATTTAATAAATGCCAGTTGACTGATTTAGGGACTGTGTAGCCTCAGAGAAGACATATTCTAGGGTATTGGCCATATCATTATTCAACTAGGTTATATAAATCAATTCAACAGATGTTTATTAAAATCTCCTATGTGCAGTATGGCAGTGTTTTACTTTATGTGAATTACTCATTTTTGAGCATAGTCTTGATTTATGACCACTGTCTTTAAAGTTTATAAAAAGGGAGTTAGATAAATTCCATGTACTTATATCCCCAGTCTAGCACAGTGCCTGACAAATAGTGATGTTTAAATAAATACTTGTTGATTGATCTTTTTTATTTATCCTTGGAATCCTCTCAAATAGGTATATTTGAAGGAGAAGATGAGAAGTACAGAACTTTTATTTTTTGTATAGGCAGTTTTGAGTAGCACCAGCTTCAGTGATCTTGGAAGCTAAATTTTTAAAGTGTTATACTTTAGTATGTCTTAAGTTTTTGCTTTTGTAAGCCTCAACTTTTGTTTTTGTCGTTTTTTAGGTGATTTGAATTCTTCAGCCTGTAATATTCTCAACTGTGCAAAGCTTTCAAGCTTTTCTCTCCAAGACCTGGAAAGGGCCTTTAAAGGGAGGTCAGTACAAGGCCCTTTATTTGCTTCATGATTGTGAAATAATTTGCATTTATATTAGGTAACAGATATCAAATATTTCTATTCTGCTAAATTGCTTACTTTTATGTGGTTATTTTCCACATATGTCTTTTAATATGGTCTGTATTTATTTTAATAGACTGCAAATGGTGTGGTTATTTATCATGAACCGAATGAATTCCCAGAGCAGTGGTTTTACTCAGCGGAGGCGAATGGCTCTTGGAATTGTTATTCTCCTACTTGTGGATGTTATATGGGTTGCTTCATCAGAACTTACTTCAGTAAGTAGTTTAAACTTTTCAAAGAATAATTTTATTTTAAGAAAACTTCATGTATCTAATAAAAGAGCACAGTTATAAAAGAATTAGCTAGTCTTACAACTATTGTGGAATTTTTTCATTTTTCTGTTGATGTGGTATTAATTTTTAACCCAACTTTAAACTGAAAGCTTGATTTCACCTGATTTCCTTGCATTCAATTAGGGGAGGTAAGATGAATGGGTCTTATTTTGGGCTAGAAATATGATATGTTAGTGTGGATTTTCCAAATAAATATTTGAAGGTATTTCTTTATGTTGGTAAGTATATCTTAGAGTGTATTTTTGATGCAAAGCAGCTTTTATACAATGAATAGAAGTTGGATTTAAAAAAAAAAAGATACCTAAGCAAAATAATACTGAGTTTTAACTTTGCAAATATATCCATTAATATATTCCCCCCCCCAGTTTTCTTAATAAGTGTTGATGGTGCTGTTGAAAAGAGCATGAAATGCTATACATTATGTAATTAATTGCTTGCTTTCTAGTAAAAGTTTATGCATTGCACTCAGGTAATGAGCTCATTAAGAACTCGAGTCTTATTTTTCTCTCCTAGTGTAATTATTATTTGAACTTACTTGGTTAATAGCACTTTCTGTGAAGATGACAGTTTTTTTTTTTCTTTAGAAATAACTAGTTCTTAATGTAGTCAAGTTTTGACCTTGTGTATACTTGTATATATAACAAGTATCATTTGTTTAAAAAGCAAAACATAGTATCACACTTACAATATGATAGTTGTTTAATAAATTTGTTAGTTGGCTTCATCCAAGCCTTCCTAGATCTTGGTTAGAATACTTTTAAAAATGCTTTTTTGGGAGTGGGGATGGGGAATGTGATTTTTCGTTTTCCAGAATAAGTAGTTTTCACTGGTGAAGCTTTTATGACTTAAATGCTTGTAATACAGCATGAATTTTGGACCAGAATTTAGGAAAATAAACAATTGTTTAAAGGTAGTAAGGATATGAACCTTAGATAATATATTTTATTAATCTTATTAATTTTTACATCAGTTAAGAAATAAACTTTAATAGAAAAAGAAATTTCATTCAGCCATAGTTAGAACTTAGTCTCCCCGATATAGATAGAGAACACTTAATTTTACTTATTTTCTCAATATGGAGCCAAGTGAGAGTAAAAGTTTTATGTGATTAAAGCTGTCACATGTAGCCAAAGAGCCTTCCTAGATTCTTTCTTTTCCTTTATCCATTCTGTCTAGTTAGTTACCAGTTACTGTTGATTTCACTTCCATAACATCTCTTGTACTCTGGATTATTGTGAAAGTCACTTTGCTTCTGGTCTTTCTGTACTCCATTCCATCCTTCACACAGTTACTAAAACAATTTTTCTAAGCCATAGATCTTACTATTCCACTTCTCTGTTCAAAAATCTTAGGTAACCCCCCTATTTATACAAACTCTATAGCCTGCCATTTAAAATCTTCTATTTTCCAGTCCGGTTGTACTACATCCCATTTCCTAAACTTGACATTGTCATTTCCTACCTTTGCATTTTCACACAAGCCAACAGCCATGCCTAACATTGACTTCTTCCTCAGCTTCATCTTTCTGAATCCTTTAAGGCTCAGTTCAGGTGCTTCTTCCTTGGTGAAGCCTTCCCAGGACACTCAGTTGCTAGGCTTTTTCTCTTCCATTACTCTATATTTATTTACATGTATATAGTATATACATTTATTCTCCCCAGAAGAATGAAAGGCCCTTGAGGATAGAGACTGTTTAATTTTTGTCTTTGTTTCACTGATGGGTAGCTCAGTACTTTGAACTTATTTGCTTAGTAACTGTTTAACTAAAATGGGTTAAATTAATATGAAAGAAATCCTTTAATATATTTAACATATAATGTATACATTCTTATGTATTTTGATTTTTGTTTTTGTGCTCCCAGGTGGGTTTTTTTAATACACATAGACATATTGCTTCTTAGTCTGAGCTGTCAACCACATAGAGCTTTCAAACTTAGTGATATTTGCATTTTAAAGTTTTGTTGGCTTATAGCGTTTTTGAAGTTAGGGTATTTACTACTTGGTTGTGTGCATGTACGTGTTCCTTTTGTTGCAGAGGCATATGGTTAAAATTTATCTCTTATTGCAGCATAAGATTTGCAGCAGTAAGTGTTTGACAAATTATTACTATGATCATTTTTAATTGTTCTCTTTATCTGACCTTTAAATTTCTAAGTTAAAAAAATTGTAACTTTGTCTTAGTAAAGATTAATAGTAAGATTCAACGATTTCATAGTAGTCTATTTAACTTTTTTCCCCCACAGTATGTTTTTACTCAATATAATAAACCATTCTTCAGCACCTTTGCAAAAACATCAATGTTTGTTTTATACCTCTTGGGCTTTATTATTTGGAAGCCATGGAGGCAACAGTGCACACGAGGATTTCGTGGAAGACATGCTGCTTTTGTAAGTTTCATAATTTCTGTGTTTGGCGGGGAGATGGAGTATACATTTTATCAGGGTTTAGAGATGTTTAAATTTTCGTAAGGTAGCCACATCTTAATTGCCAATGGCATTAGGTATGTAGAGATATCATAGAAGTAAGAAAACCCAACAAAACCAAGTCCTTATTATAGCCAGTAGTTTTGGTAATGTTAAACTATTAATTAAATGTTAATAATGAGCAAAATAGACATATTTGAGTTTTATCTCTTTTCCTTTTCCTGTATTTTTGAGAGTTGTTACAGTCTAGTAAAGTAGCAAAAAAAAAAACCAAAAAAAAAAAACAACAAACCAACAGTGTAGAGAAGAAAAAAAAGGAAGCAGAGAAGCAACCAATAGCTTCAGGAATTAGTTGACTAACTAACTTGTTGGAAGTTGACTGTGTAGCCAGGTGTGGTGGCACATACTCACCTTGAATCCTTGCTACCTGCAAGACTGTGGCTGGCAGATCTTTTGAGCTTTAAAGTTCTGAACTTCAGTGGGCTATGCCCATTGGGTGTCTGCACAGTGTTTGACATTTAATTGTGAGCCCATAGAAGTCGGGGGGGGGGGGCATTAGGTTGCTTAAGGTAGGGTAACCAGCCTGGGCTGGAAATAGAACAAGTGGAAGCTGCTGTCCTCATCAGTAGTGGGATTAGCCTACGCCAGATAGGGAGACCCAATCTTGAAAGAAAAGAAAAGAAATTGACCGTGTTGGCAAAATAATTCAATATTTTATATTAGGGGAAAAATATCTATTACAAACTGAATTTTAAATGTTCAATGGACCGGATTATCCATTAAGCATTAAAAGAGCATTATAAACTCCATCATGGCACAGAAAGAATTAGAAATTGTCATAGTAGTATACCTTCTTTATAGAATGGAAATGGGGAAAAAAGTGACATCAAATTAATAAGAATGAATAGTCTCACAGCTGATTTTTAGCTTTTTCTGCCCCTGTTTTCATTAATTTTGAAAAGAATAGTTATTTCTAACTTGTGTCATTCTCCAGAAGGCATCTTGAGAAATTAATTCCCCAAATTTTGTCAGAAATAGTTTAATTCTCCCTATCTTTGAAGTATAGGTTAAAGTTAATGATGTTGATTAGAGATTAATTTGGTCCTTTTTTCTCACCTTTGGCATACTTTACATTAACATTTGAATTTGACAATAAAAAAACAGTTTTATTTTTATGAACAAGATATTGTATGACTAGAATTTACTTGGAAGGTCTGGAACTTTAATATCACACATGGAGTGCTTTTTAATTTCCTAGGTAGCATTGAGGATATATTTTTTCCAAACGTTTTTAAAAATGAAATTTTCTAGTAACTTAAATTCTAGTAGAATATAGTATTCTTTGGTTTATGTAAGATAGATAGTGGAAGAGAGGGAAGTATTTTGTAATGATATTATTGTTCATTCCAGATGATTATCTTAGATTGATGAGATTCATAAGACACTTTGACATACTCCCTGGCTGTCATAGAATGGTGAATTAAGAGTAGGCTTGCTCTCTGTACTTGATAAATTCATGATAGATTTTGATTGTGAGTTTAACTGAATTTTATGCTAATTTTCCTCTATTCAGTTTGCAGATGCTGAAGGTTACTTTGCTGCTTGTACTACGGATAATACCATGAATAGTTCTTTGGTAAGTTTTATCTGATTTGAAGAGTTTAGAGCTGTCATTAAGTAAATTGCTCAATAACGTTTAAAGATCCTACTTTGGTATTTGCTTTAATGCTAACAAAATATTAACAAGTGGGAAGATTTTTGTAAAATGGTTAATTGCTAATGAATAGAAAAATTTGAATTTAATGAATGTGAATTTGCCTAGAATTCCACTTAGATTGTTTTATAAGATATTTGAATTATTGGTATAAAGGCAGTAAAAAGGCTAAAACACAATTCTGTCATACATAATAAATTGATCAAAACTGAAAGGAATCCTTAGAATGATTTTTCCTGAAAGTCATCTTTCATTTGAAGAGAATATGTGGATTATATTTCATTGTGAAACATTTTAAAATTGAGGTGAATATAGTAATGTGTAAGTTATTTGATTTTTACATGACTGGTAACCTTTAACCAGTGTGTACATCAGTGAACTGGATGTAAGCAAAGGGAAGAGCCAAATAAATAAAAGTTACAAAAAACACTATTTGGTTATTTGGTTTATTGACTGTATACAAGGACCGCTCTTATTGACTAGCAAGCAGTGGCCATCAGTGCCATGTCGTTTTGACACCAAAACCACAAATCACTGGAGAAATGGTAGTAGTAAAAGGAGAAAGAAGGAAAGAGAAACAAAGACTGGTACAGGAAGGAAGTAGATGTTAGCCTTTTTCATCCTATCTCCATTCTCATTTCTCTAGGCAGAGCAGCGAATACGTGGCTGAATTTGGAGTTAGGAAGATTTGAGTTTAAATCCTGTTTCAGACATTTACTAGCTTTGTGACCCTGGATAAATCATTTAACCTGTGCCAGCCTCAATTTCCTTAGCTGTAGAGTGGGGATAATAATAGCACTTCCCTCTCAAAAATGTTTTGAGGATCAAATAAGATAACATAGGTAAAGCACTTTGTAAACCATAAAGCTATATATAAATGCCAGCTCTTTCTTTCTACTCATGAAGCCTTTACATACCTAGATAGTGCAGTACTCCCTTAGTTGGTACCCTTTTCTCTGTTCTCTGCCCTCTGCAATCCTTCCTCAAAATAGCTGCTAAGATATATCCCTAAGATAAAGATCTGACCATGTTACTTTCTCTTACTCAAAGTTCTTCAATTAAATGCTCAGCCTGGGATTGAAAGTCCTTTATAATTCTGGCTCCCATCTACCTTTCCAACTTTGTTTCATGTTTCCTGTCTGTACATAGTCAAAACTACTGGCTAGCTATTTCCCGTATATGAGTTCATTCTCTGTTTCCATGTCTTTGCACAAATAGTCCCCCATGTCTAGAGTGTACTACATCCTCACTTCTATGTTGTAGCTTCTTTCAAAGCACAGCTCAGGTGTCACTTCTACAAAAAGCTTTTCTTAATCCCCTCACATTTATTAGCACTATCTTGGAATTATTTTTGTTACTTTTTGCATATCTGGCATTTGTAGGGCTCATGCATCAGAAATGGGGCCGTAGGGGGGAGAAGAGATAAAAGCAGGAGTTATTTAGCCATTTCATTGACTTTGATAGCTCTCCTAAGGGCTGTGCCTTGAATTTTTTTTTGGTTAGGCAGTGAGGTTAAGTGACTTGCCCAGGGTCACACAGCTAGTAAGAGTTATGTGTCTGAGACCAGGTTTGAACTCAGGTCCTCCTGAATCCAGGGCCAGTCCTCTATCCACTGCGCCACCTAGCTGCCCTGAAATTTGTTCTCTTCCAGGTTGTAGGAGTTCAAAATTCAAAATAAGGGATCCTTTTATGGGACCCTGGAGAGACAAAAAGAAAGTGCACATAAGGAGTATGTTGTTGCCTTTGTAAATTAGAAGAAAATATTCTTGTCCTTTAGCCAGGAGTGACTGCTATAGAAATGTCTTTGTCATCATTCTCATCATTGTCATTATTATCCATTTTTGAGCCGTCTGTTAGGGATAGGGCCCTGGAGGTCAAAGAGATAAAGAGTCAGGCCCTGATTTTATGGGACTTAGAATAGATCAATATAGATTACCTATATAAGAGAAGGAAGTTTTATAGTTAAGATACTTTCTTGATTCTCTTTTATTTATTTATTTTTTGAGGCAGTTGGATTAAGTGACTTGCCCAGGGTCACATAGCTAGTAAATGTCAAGTGTCAGAAGTTGGATTTGAACTCGGTTCCTTCTGAATCCAAGGCTGGTGTTCTCTGCACTGTGCCATTTAGCTGCCTCTCTCATTTACGTTCTAATTAAATTCTGTTTGTTTACTTTCTAAGAGGTGTGGATTAATTTTTTAAAAACAAATCCATAAACAGAAATTTAGTGTAAGAAAAAATGTCTTTCAAAATCCCAGCCAGTTGTACATACCGCCAGAATTTTGTTGACCTTTTTTTTTAAACAATATTTTATGTAAGGAGTAACCAAAAAAATTTTTTTCTCGAGTGCCTGTGTCAGAAGCAATATTTGAGTGCCTTCTTTTGGCAGTATGCTATATAGTAAGTGCTCCAGGTCAGGATTTCTTAACCTTTTTTGTTTCATGGACTCCTCTGGCAGGCTGGTGAAACCTCTACATCCCTTTTCAGAATAATGTGTTTAAATGCATAAAATTAAATAAAAAAGTTTACAGAGGAAACCAGTTATATTGAAATAAAGTTGGAATTGTTTTCCCATGTAGGTTCATTGACTTCCCAGTTTAAGAACCCTAGCTCTAGAGGATGGTCAAAGAAATAGAAGACACAGTCTGGCCCCTCAAGTAGCCTAGTCTAATTGAGGAGATAAAACATATATAGAACACTAAAGAACTCTTACAGAACAACAGATTTATTTCAGTTATCCAAGAATGTCTTGAGAGGGTTTATAATCATAGAGGTCCTTTATTAATCTGGGGAAGTTTTGATATAGGGACAGATTTTAAGTTACTTCTGAAGTGAAGGACAGAAACAATTGGGCAAAGGAGAGAGGCATCTTGTTTAAGGAAAAGCAACCAACCGAGTAGAAAATGAGAGGCAGAAAGTGATATATCTGTAATCTATTATATATGCTATGCCAACATTTCTACCAAATTAAATTAAATTGTTGAGTCATTGGACTTACTAGCATCCATGTGGCTTAGTTGCATTCTTTTATATAGCAACAACTTTTAAAAATCCTTAAATTCAATTTATGGAAAGTTACGTCTTATAAATCTTCTTATAAATGACATCATCATAATTATACCTGTATTTAATTACTACCTACATAAATTTTAAGTGATGTTTTTGGTTTAACTGCAGTTGTTATTTTTTCCATATCAGAGTGAACCTCTGTATGTTCCTGTGAAATTTCATGACTTGGCAAGTGAAAAACCTGAAAGTACAAATGGTGAGAATGAAAAAAGTAAGTTAAAATAATAATTTCTTACCTTTATCATAAAGTATGGATAATTTATCAATGACAAAATGTGTTTTTAAATAACTGTACAATAGGATTCACTGGTTAAATAACAATTTTATACTATGCTTTTCAAGTATAAATTGATTTTTTGGGGGCCATTTGTATGACAAGCTTACTTTTACCATATTCTGTAGCAAAGTTGTTTAATAAAGATTAGTCAGGATTCAGCTTTCATGTCTGATGCCATTAGTATTCAAAACAAAATTTAAAAGAAGTAATAGACTACATTTCAGAGATTCATTGTAAAAGTGGAGATTAGCATGGCATTCATCAAGCTTAACTGAGGCACTCAGTATGTTGTTGCATAATTCACTGTGTGTAAGTGAGTGTTATATATATTGGGAGAACCACTGAGATCTGGAGAAGTTGTGACTCCTATCTAATGAGTTCTGTTAGCATATCTGGAATAATTGCATTAAAGAATGCAAACAATATTCATTCATGGAGCCTTTGGGAACTGCCTCTGAAATGGAATGAATTAAAATATTTTAAAGTGCTTTTAGTGAGTTGATGGAGAATTTAGTGCAAATAGACAACAAATAGAGGGTATAGTTCTGTTTGACATGATTGTTGGTATTCTTGATCTTTATTGTTTGTAAGGACCAATTTTGTTTCTGTTGAGAATGTATCTCAGAAGTAATAATGAAAGTTAATACAGAAACTTTTTAATATGCAAAGTTTCACTTTCTACACCATGTTTAATAGTTCATTCAGGGCATAAAATGAGGTAAAGCTACATCTTGAACATTATTTATTTCTTAAACTTAAAACATTCCTATTGCTGTCCCTTTTGGACACAGTGCTTTAGTTAATGCTTTTGTATAAGAGTGTTTATAGCTGGCATATTCAATGAATAAACATAAATAATTTATAGATAGTGCTACGTATACTATCACTTTATATTGATGTGAATCCAAACTTGGTGTTATCCAGATATATGAAAATTCAGAAAGTGTAGAGAGAGCCCTTAGACTTTTTTTTAATTCCCTCCTCCCATTATTGCATGTAAAGAGGTCTATGATAAAGGGTAGTTCCAAAACTGTGAATTAAATAAATCACCGCTTACAGTACTAATACCTTTTAGGTGGTTTCTTAGAGAGCAGTCATGGACTCTTAGGACTAGCATGGATTTAAGAGATTTTTTTCCATTCTGATCTCATTTTACTGAGATAAAATAAAGCTGTTCCATAGAGGTTAAAGTTACACAAGTAGGATGTTAAAAAAAAAATGGAAACTACATATATGAATGGAAGGAACCAGCTTTGAGTAAATTTCTTTTGAATTAACCCTAATGAAGGTTCACCCTACTTCAGTCTCCAAGATCTTTGATGTTTTAAAGGGAGGCCAGAGCTAGTGTTATCAGATGACAGTATTGTCAGTGTTCTGTTTATTGTCATGTTGAAGTTTGTAGGGTTTGCTTGGTCTTTCATATTTAAAGGGCTTTGCTGAAATAGGTATTTTTTTACACACTGTGCATGCATACACACATGCACACGCATGCAACATACCTGAAACCCATGAGGTGTGCCTAAAATTTGGAGGAAAAACAAGAGGGATGGATATCAAGTATAAGATTAGTTCCCACCAAAACAGCCCTTTCAAGAAACAAGAATCATAATAGTGAAATAGCCTAAATAATAGAAATATTCCCTCAATGAACAATATAGCTAATGGGGTATCCTTGCAGTGATTCGTGGTGATGCCTATCTTATTTAACTTTTGTAAATGATCTTAGAGAGGGATTATATAGTGAGATATCTCAGATTTGCAGATAGTATTCTTCCTGAGTGAAATGTCAAGCTGTTAACCAGAAATATCTTAAGATATTTTGCATATTAGTAAATTGTCAGATGAGCTTCATTGTGGCAAGTATTACATAAGTAATTTAGAGTATGTTAATGCAAATAGCACCCACAAATTGATAGGGTTTTAAGCTACAAGTTAGACTCATGAAGTAATTTCAGAAGATTTCCTAAAGAAATATTTTTAATGTGTCAATAGAAAAAAAAGGCCAAATATTCCTAAGACATTCGAAACAAAACAGAAAAATGTTTTTCTGCCTTTGTATAAAACCATGAAATGCTTTGTGCAGTTGTGATTACTTCACCTTAAGAAAGAAAAAAAATTGTGTCTGGAAAAAGCCAATTAAAGTGATTTGAAGGCATTGAGGAGAGATTGACAAGATTAAGGTTACAGTCTAGAAAGGCACAGGAAGAATAATCAGTTTATTTGCTTAACAATAAGCACATAATATGTGTAAGGGACTCTACTAAGAACTGAGATGAATATAACGTTGGATGACATGTTTTCTCTCCACAGAGCCTAAGGAGAGAAATTAGGTATGTACAAATAAGTAGTACAAAGTAGAATGATAAGTGTGTAAGAAGTTTAGACTTGTGCTATGAGGGTTCAGCATGAAGGAAGACAAGCTTCCACTCATGGTAATCAGGAATGATTCTATGAAAGAAGATCTGTTTTGATGTAAGTCTTGAAAGATAAATTTAAGTGAAACAGTGGTGTTGGGCAGAGGGTTTGGTCAAGCAAGGCACAGACAGTAACATTAGAAAAGGTATGGAGACAGTAAACTGTGACAAAAGGGCATGTTAAATTTGGGAGGCATGAACATGACAAAACAGGAAATTGATAAATGTTGGAGAAGATATGGGAAAATTGGAGCGTTGTTGGTGGAGTTGTGAAATGATCCAACCATTTTGGAGAGCAATTTGGGATTATACCCAAAGGGCTATAAAAATGTGCATACCCTTTGACCCAGCAATAGCACTTCTAGAGCTATATCCTAGAGAGATCATGCAAATGGGGAAAGTACGTACATGTACAAAAAAATATTTATAGCAGCTCTTTTTGTGGTGGCAAAGAATTGGAAATTGAGAGGATGCCCATCAATTGTGGAATGGCTGAACAAGTTGTGGTATATGAATGTAAGGAATACTATTGTGCTATAAGAAATGATGACCAGGCTGACTTCAGAAAAACTTGGAAAGACTTGTATGGTCTGATGCTGAGTGAAGTGAGCAGAACCAGGAGAACGTTGTATGCAATAACAGCCATGTTGTGCGATGACTAATTTTTTTTTTAAATTTTTTTAAATTAAAAAAAATTTTAATTTATTTTGAATTATCAACAATCACTTCCATAAACTTTTGAGTTTTAAATTTTTCTTCCCCTCACTCCCCACCTCTCTCCCCAAGACGGCATGCAGTCTGATATAGGCTACACATATATATTCCTATTAAACATATTTTCACCAATAGGAGGAAACACCAGAAAGAGGAAACAAAACACAACAGAAGAAAAAAACATAGCAAATAGTATGCTTCGATCTGCATTCAAACTCCATAGTTCTTTGTGGATGGCATTTTCTATCATGAGGCCTTTGGAGATGTCTTAGATCCTTGTATTGCTAAGGAGGGTTAAGTCTATCAATATTACTCATCACACAACGTGGCTGTTACTGTGTACATCATTCTCCTGGTTCTGCTCATTTAACTCAGCATCAGACCATATAAGTTTTTCCAAGTTTTTCTGAAGTCAGCCTGTTCATCATTTCTTATAGCACAATAGTACTTTATTACATTCATATACCACAATTTGTTCAGCCATTTCCCCAATTAATGGGCATCCTCTCAATTTCCAGTTCTTTGCCACCACAAAAAGAGCTGCTATAAATATTTTTGTATATGTATGTACTTCCCATTTGTATGATCTCTTTGGGATATAGCCTTAGAAGTGCTATTGCTGGGTCAAAGGGTATGCACATTTTTATAGCCCTTTGGGCGTAGTTCCAAATTGCTCTCCAAAATCGTTGGATCATTTCACAACTCCACCAACAATGCATTAATGTTCCAATTTTCCCACATCTTCTTCATCATTTATCATGTTCCTGTTTTGTCATGTTGGCCAATCTGATAGGGTTGATGTGGTACCTCAGAGTTGTTTTGATTTGTATTTCTCTAATCAATAGTGATTTAGAGCATTTTTTCATATGAGTATAGATGGCTTTAATTTCTTCATCTGAGAACTGCCTGTTCATATCCTTTGACCATTTATCAGTTGGGAAATGACTTGTATTATAAATTTGACTTAATTCTTTATATATTTTAGAGATGAGACCCTTATTGGAGAGACTGGTTGTAAAACTTCTTTCCCAATTTTCTACCTTCCTTCTAATCTTGGTTGCATTGGCTTTGTTTGTGCAAAAACTTTTCAATTTAATGTGATCAAAGTTATCCATTTTGCTTTTTGTAATGTTCTCTGTTTCCTGTTTGGTCATGAATTCTTCTGTTCTCCATAGATCTGACAGGTAAACTACTCCTTGTTCTCCCAGTTTGCTTACAATATCAGTCTTTATATCTAAATCATGAACCCATTTTGACTTTATTTTGGTATATGGTGTGAGACTTTGATCTATGCCTAGTTTCTGCCATACTCTTTTCCAGTTTTCCCAGCAGTTTTTATCAAAGAGTGGGGTCTTATCCCAGAAGCTGGGGTCTTTGGGTTTATCAAGTAATAGATTACTATAGCCATTGACCTACTATGTCTTGCATACTTAATCTATTCCACTATTTTGTTTCTTAGCCAATACCAAGCAGTTTTGATGATTGCTGCTTTATGATACAATTTAAGATCTGGAATGTCTAGGCCACCTTTCCCAGCATTTCTTTTCATTAGTTCCCTTGATATTCTGGACCTTTTGTTACTTCAAATGATGCTATGAGTTATATTGATAGACTTAACTCTCCTTAGCAATACAAAGATCTAAGACATTTCCAAAGGCCTCATGATGGAAAATGCTATCCACAAAGAAGAAAGAACTATGAAGTTTGAATGCAGATCGACGCATGCTATTAGCTATTTTTTTTTCTTCTGTTGTGTTTTGTTTCCTCTTTCTGGTGGTTCCTCCTATTGGTTCTAATTCTTACTTACAACATCAGTAATGTGAAAATATGTTTAATAGGAATGTGTATGTATGGTCTATATCAGATTGCACACCTTCTTGGGGAGGGAAGGGGAGAAAAATTTAAAACTCAAAAGCTTATGGAAGTGATTATTGATAATTCAAAATAAATTAGTAAAAAAAAATTTGGCAGGCATGACAGGTGCATGAAAGGGAGTAGTGTGAGATGAGATTTGGGGTGAGTAGACTATAAAGAACCTTGACTATAAATCAGGTTAAGGAGTGAATTTACTTAGTAGGCAGTGATGAGCTATTGAAGGTCATGATGGGGACAGATAAGGTAAACTTGAACTTGTTCACTAAATTTTGGAATAGTAATATTAGGAATCATTCTTGGAAGTTAGTGAGAGAGAGCTTTAAGACAAATTAAAGTCCTGCTTTACAGATGAGCTGAACTTTTGATACTTATTGTTAGAGATGGTAAGTCTTAAATTATAAGGCCACTGAGTGGTGCAGTAGACAGAGTGCTGGATTTGGAGTTAGGAAGGCCTCACTTTGAAATCTTATCTCAGATACTTCCAACTGTATAACCCCGGTAAGTCACTTTTTTTCCTCCTGTTTGCCTCTGTTTCCTCATGTGTTAAATGGAGATAATTCTAGCACCGTAGCTCACAGGGTTTTGTAAGGATCAAATTTAATAAGTGCTTTGCAAACCATAAAGCACTATATAAATGCTAGTTATCACCATCATCATCATCATTATTTTTACAAATATATTCATGGAGGGTTTAGAGTTATTAGGTAAATTTGTGTATGTTTGGGGGTTTGTTTCAGCCCTTTGAAATGACATAATGGAGTACATCTACTTAATTACTGCTTTTGTCAGAGGTAATATACTAGATTCAGTGGACCATGAGTCTTGTCTAGTAAGGCATTTTCGTGATTGTTAACTTTTATAATTATTCCTTGTTGAATTATCAGAAATCTCTAAGACTGTACCACATACACAATTTACATACAGTATCCACTTAAGTTCAGCCTTCTAAAGCACACAAAGAGGATCTTAGGAGGCCAGCTAATAATTCCTGCATAGCTCTCTGCTGGTGCACTATTTCAGTAAAGCATTCTAGTTTTCAGTCTCTTGAAAGTATGTGCATATAACATTTTTCTCAAGGAACAGGCCTAAAGAAAATCATATTGCATTTTTGAATCTCTTAATATGCACAGTAGACTATAACAGTTTGACAACTAGTCGTATTTAGAAACTTTTAAAAATAGTAAAGAACCTGGTTATTTTTTAAAAAGATAATTTTTCTTTTGCCATTTTGAATAAAAAAATTTATCCACGTAATTAATTATATATAGTCCTTTCTTAGACTTCCTGGGTTTGACCAGAGACAGAAGTATTAAGTATAGTGATAATATCAGTAAATTCACTTTTTAAAAAACTTCATTTGTGGGTAGAGGATGTCTAATGATCTTGTGCCATACTTTTTCTTTTAAGCACTTAAAAAATCTCGTGTAAGGTTCAGTAACATTATGGAGATCCGACAACTTCCATCAAGCCATGCACTGGAAGCCAAGTTATCTCGAATGTCATATCCTGCTGTGAAAGAACAAGAGTCAATCCTGAAAACTGTAGGAAAACTAACTGCAACTCAAGTAGCAAAAATCAGCTTTTTCTTTTGCTTTGTGGTAGGTCTTCTCTTTATATTATATTTAGTAAATCAAATTTTTTACATGTGGATAATTACTGTTATAAAGGGTGAAAAATTTATTAATTTATTTAACAAGTATTATAAAAACTATTAAACTCTTACATGTGGATTACCAGTTTAAAGAGAATTAGAATAGAATAAAATTTAATGATTCACTGTGCAAAATGTAATTAGATGTTTATTTGGTAGATAAGAGACACTTCAAAATCTTATAGTTTCTCCAGTTCATCATTATAAAGTGTGCTGTGGATATATGTTAGGGTTGATAATAGATGTCTGTATAAGATGATTTACTGTTTTTTATTGCTTTAATAAGTATACTTGTTTTTCATGATTTTATATTGATGTAATATTAGTGTAAATTAGTTCAAATCTTATAGTAATTAGTTTAAAATGAAGATCTTGATATGAATGTTTTTAAGCATTAGCCTGTGGCCTACATATTTCTAGCATTATTATGGATAACAGAATCCCACTAAAGCAAAAGAACTTGGACAGCATCCTAATGCTCATTATAGTATTCATGAATGAAAACAAAACATTTTCTCTTAAGGAAATTGTTGAAAGCTTGATTATGTGATCTGTATGTAAATCTTATGACCCATTTTTTTATCTATGAAGTAGCATTAATGCTAACTAGTAGCTCTCTTTGTAGAAAATTAGGGAATTTTATTAATATTAATATTCTCACATAAATCATATTAATGATTCTCATATTAATCATAAAATTTCACTAATTTCTACTAATTGTGCAGAAAGCTTATGAATAGTGAGAAATCTGGATTGTAATTTTAGTGAAGCTTTATAATTTTTAATTCAGCATACATTAAATCCCTATTTTGTGTTAAAGCTAGGCATCCAGAGACAAAAAGAAAACACCCTTTAGAGAGCTGACATTCTTTAGAGAGTGTGGAGTAGAGATGGAATTACTAATCTATATATAAATATATATATATGTATAGATGTTAGTAATTCCACCTCTACAAAACCTTTGATTTTGTTGGAGTATTGAGCATCCTAGAAGGAGCCTTCTTTTACCAAGCATTTTGGCAACTCTTCCGCAACTTACAGGTTTAGGGAGTTACTAAGGGTGCTGAGAGGCTAAGTGATTTGCCCAGGATCACACAGCCAATATTTGTCAGATGTGGGATTTGAATCCAGTTATCATGGCTTTCAGACCAATCCTCTTCCCCTCAAATTAATACAAGTTAATTTTAGGAGGGAGAGAAAACCAAACAACTTTATAGGTAAGAGAAGGCTTCATGGAAGAGTTGGTACTTAAGTGGATCATTTGGAGGTAGAGTTGAAAGAGTATATTCTAGTCATGAGGAACAACTTGGGTGGATGTATGGTAGCAAGAGAAAATGTGTGTTGAGGTATCAAGACAGTGTGAATGGAATATAGAGAGTCTGAAGGAGAGAAATTTAATTGTATAGGAGTAGTCCTTTAGTAGTGCTTTAAAAGAACAAGATATGAATGATTTGGAATTCATGAAAAGCACCAATTTCACATTTGTTAATAGTAGTAATATTTTATAATAGTAACAGCATGTCATAATGGAGTAAGAGGAACCTTGGAATCATGAATACCAAGGTTTAGATTCAACTCAGTATTCCAGGCAGCTGTTCGAGAATATAAACTACAGAATCAATCAGCGAGTCAGCAAGCATTTATGGAGCACTTCTAGGTGCTAGGCACTTTGCTAAGAAGTGGGAATACAAAGAAAGGCAAAAACAGTCTCTGTCCTCAAAGGATTCACGTTTAATGGAGTGGCTAATTTGCAAAAAAAAAAATTACATATGAGATAGGTACAGTGTTAAGTGTAGGGTAATCTGAAAGGAAAGGCATTAGTAGTATGAGGGACCAGGAATGGACTGCAGAAGATGGGTCTTGTTCTGACTTTTTTTTTTTTTTTTTTTTTTTTTTTTTGCTTAGGCAGTTGGGGTTAAGTGACTTGCCTAGGATCACACAGCTAGTAAGTGTCAAGTGTTTGGTCTGAGGTCAGATTTGAACTCAGGTCCTTGACTTCAGGGCTGGTGCTCCATCCACTGCACCACCTAGCTACCCCTTGTGCTGACTTCTGAAGGAAGCCAGGAGGTAGAGGTGCCTTCCAGGTATGGGAAGTAGTGAAAAGGCACAGAGAGAAGAGACAAGGTGTCATGTGTGAGAAATAGTAAGAAGGCCAGTGTTGTATTGTATTTGGAGGGGAAAGTAAAATGTAGGAAGATTGGAATGTTAGGAAGGGACCAGGTTGTGAAGGGCTTTAAATGCCAAATGGAGCTTTTTGTGGTTGATTTGGGAGGTAATAGGGAGCCATAGAAGTGAGTAGGGTAGGGTGATGTGGTCAGATCTGCATATTGGGAAGATAACTTTGGCAGCTGAGTGGAGAATAGACTAGAATAGGGAAGAAAACAGGAAGGGAGAGAGACCAATCAGAAGGCAATTGCAATAGTCCAGCCATGAAGTTACTCATTACTGCACTCAGTTGGTGGCTTTGTGAATAGAGAGAAGAGGACACATAGGAGAAATGTTGTTAAGGAAGAAATGACAAGATTTGGCAACAGATTGGATATATGGTGTGAGGGTAGGTGATGAGTTGAAGTTAGGAGCCTGGTTGGGAGAATAGTTGTACCCTTGATAGTAACAGGGAAATTGAGAAGAAGGAACGGTTTAGGGGAAATAGAGTTCAGAGAAGGTGCCAGTCTGTATTAGAAGAGAAAATACCTCACCAGGAGCTTCCTGGTGTATTTTATTTTATTAGTGCTTCTATATAATTGAATGCTTCATAAATGTCAGAAAACAGTTTGATCTTATAAATGTAAACATTTCTCATTCCAATTTTATACCTATTATTAATTGCTTCAGTTAACTTTTTTCCTACCAGTGGTAGAACCATAAACTTTTGGTCTTTTCTGAATTAATAAGGCTTTTACATGGAACCAGAGGAAAATTTCTGACAAATTAACATGGTCATTTTTTTTAAAAGCCTTTGCTTAGTAGTTTTAAAGAAACATTGTGATTTCTCTTTATATTTTTGTTTCAAGTCATAGTAAGTTTTCTTTTAGAGAATTTTTTTTCGTAAAGCTTTCATGAAGTAAAATAATTCCATTTATGTAGAGAAGTAGTATGGAGTAACAGGGTATTGGAAGCAGTGGTATAGTGTGAAGAGCACTGGAATCAAAAGACCAGGGTCCAAATCCCACCTCTGGGGTTTAATTACTTTCCTGACCTTAAGCAAATCATTTAATCTCCCTGGGCTTCAGTTTCTTCATCTATAAAGTGAAGAGAGTTAGAATGGATAGCCTCTGAGGTCCTTTGCAGCTTTAGACCCATGCATGATCCTACCCTGCTGTTAGGGTGATGTGCAGAGCTTGAAGTAGGGAAGACTTGGGTCCAAGTCAAGATTCTGAGACTTAGTCGCTACCTTACCTTGGGTAAATCACTTAACCTTTTGGAGCTTTAGACAACTGCTAAAGATTTGTTTACTAAGTCCTAGGTTGTAATCTCAGCTGGTGGAGTTTCAAAACTAGGAATTCCTTCATGCTGAGAAAAGTCTTAGATCCTTCATGTAATATGTATTCAAGAAGTATGAAACACTTTGTTCATAGCTCTGTGATGTATTAAGTGATTTTTCTGGGTCACAAGCTAACAGGAGTTGGAGCCGGGATTCAAACTCAGATCCTCTGACTTTGTGCTTCACCAGGCATTGGTTTATTTAGATGGTAATTAGCTTTACCAAAACACATTCCCTGATAGATACAGTCTTCATTATGCATAATTAAATATATGTGCATATGTATGTGTACACTGTGAATAGATGTGTGCATGTATGCATATGTGAGATATATGTAAGCATGCATATGTTTACATATAACACATATGTATACACATGTACTCAGTATTCCCACACATAAATTACTTACTAGATTAGTTGTATAGCTTTTCAGTCACTACCCTTAAGTCTTCATCAGAATTGTTCAAAAACTCAAATTGATCTATGTTTTATTGATCCCATGGATTTGGATGTTGTCTCCAGCTGTGCAGATCACAACACATTTTTGCCTACACATCCTTTATGACTCTTTATCATGTCTTCCCAGAAGTTTACTTTTGAGGTTCCACTCAATATGCTGGAAACCTTCCTCTTTTTGTTTATGTTTTTGTTCACATTGGGAGGGGCCTAGTGTACAACTCTAGCATGAATGAATTAATAGATTTGTAGTAGAGAATTGTCTTGACAGTTTTTTGGGAAGCTGTATCTTAAGTCTGGAACATTGTTTGACAGTTGGAAAGGACTAGTAAGCAAGTCCCTTGAAAGAACTGGTAGATAGATGATGTGATTCAGATGTTATCTCTATCTTTGTATTACCTGATATTTAAATGTTCGTCTTTTCTTATGCTAGCAGAGAACAGTGAGATTGCTGAGAAGGCAAACTGTATTTTTGACTAAGAAAATTAATGTTTTTATACTAGTAGTAAAGGAAATGGTTAAGGAAGTTGCAGTTATCATTGTCATATGTGTTGTTTCCTCCTTGCTGTAAACCTCCAGTGGAATACTTAGAGAAATCTTCCTTCTTCTTTTTCAATGTGCTAGCTTGTTGTCATTAGTATAACAAAGATAGTGAATAATGTTCAAGAGGGAGGGAAAATTTATGGCAGAGAAAGCAAGTGATAAATGAAGAGAAAAGTGTTGAAAGCTTATGAAGGGAATGATGAGCAGAGAATGCCAACTTAGATCTGGGTGAGTGTCAACAAAATAGTGGCCCTTGTAGTCTTTGGATCATTGCCAATGTAATTTAATCCTAGAATGTGTTACATAGAGTTGATTTGTAACTGTAGTAAATGACTTTGATCTTTTCACCAAAAGCTCTTGTCTCCAATTCATTACAGTTCTCATATGGGATAATTTCCTTCAAATATTTCTGCCTCAGACCTCGGTTATTTTGAATAATGCTATTGTATAGGGGAAACAACAACAAACAAAGTAGGGAAAATAGAACCAAATATAAATCTGAATTTTTTAGAGTATTTCATGTGACATTAAGAAGATGATACTTTGCCCTTTCAGGAGAAACTAACTGTTGTAAGATGTAGTTCAGCAGACATTTATTAGGCACTTACTATGTGCAAGGCAATAGTGTAGGAACATGGAGGAGACAAAGATGAATAAGACACAGCCCCTTTCTCCTTGAATTTATGGTTTGGTAGGGGAGATAAAACATGTTCACAAATAAATATGATACAAAGTAGAATGTGATAAATGTGTGTGAGAGGCATGAGTTAATTATATATTGCTGACTTTCTTTGATACTGATTATATCACTACCTCATTTTCTTATTTCGATGGATGAAAAAAACTAGCAAGGAGGAGAACTTTAGATGGAGTCAGGATAACCGTCATAGCCTTATTCCAGCTCTTACTGACTCAAGACAGAAGGGAGACCATGAGCCCTTAGTCATACATAGACTTTCAGGGGTGATGACTAGTGGTGATACAGTGACTGCTAGTTCTTTGAGGATTAAGTTGGCTAAGATTTATTTCCTGGCTTAATTCCAGTATCTGAGAAGACAAAGTACATCTTTAAAGAGATGCAAGTGACTCTCTGATGAGGGAATGTATTGATCTCTGCTAGTTGAAAAGCTCTTAAATGGTAGTAGTGTTAGACTTATATTTTATTGACTTAAATGATTTAGTATTCTATTATGGTTTTATAAAATAGGGAACAGAAAAATTCTTATCTAAGTTAAGATAAGAATAGGTGTAGAAAGAAAGGAATAGGAAAAGAGTGGATTCTTCGTAGTTAATCTTATATCATCCCCCTATAATGAAGACTGGTACAACTATTTCTACATATTAAGAGGAAGTATAAAGTTACAATTACCTGGTTTAATCTAAAAATTGTTTCTTAAGGGTATTTTTTATAGCAAAATTATACAGCCTTACACATTCTTTCATTCTATGAACATAATTTCACCTAGAACTTGTGAAATTTGTCAGTTTGTAAAAAATTAAAATGTTCTCTTACTGTTGAAAATCCTTTGAATGTAAAAATATTTGTCAACTGCTATTCCTTTTTTATAGAATGCCATCAATACTGAATAAAACAGTATTGATTCCGCAAATTATTTGGCCCTTATTAAAAAGAAATAGCTGGCCTCAGAGCCAGCTGGCTTCAAGTCCTGCCTCTGGCATGTATTGGTTGTGTGAATCTGGGCAGGTCACTTAACAGTGACTCTTTAAAACTATGAGTCACAGAGAAAATGCCAACTTGCAATAGTAGAGAGTAAGTTTCCTCATCTTGGAGTTCTCTTTGTTAATGAAATCACAGGTCCAAATCCCTATTCTTATCTCTAAAAACAAATACAGTTTTTTCCTACTTCCAGTTGCTAAATTGGTTTATTTTTTCTTAAGCCTGTACATAGCTAGCATTAGTTATTTGGGTGATGTTGATAGTGGAAGTGTTAGTCTAAACTAAGTTTTTTAAAAGCTACTTGTTCGTTATAGAACAGTTTCTAAAACTGAGGTTATGAATAATATTTAGAGGAGAATGAAGTAAAGAAATAAAATTTGTAATTTTAATTGTAAATGTATCTTATTCCCATGTGAAATCTTTTTCTGCTCTCTAGTGGTTTTTGGCAAATTTATCATATCAGGAAGCACTTTCAGACACCCAAGTTGCTATAGTTAACATCTTGTCTTCAACTTCTGGTAAGATATTTATTGTATAATGCAATTTGTAAATTACCTAATAAGATTTATTTTGAAACTTTTGTCATTTTACTTCAATAAATTAAGAAACATTTGTGTAGATATGCCTAAAGATTTATGACATTTCTCTTTTATATAAAATTATGACATTATTTTGTTTTTAAAGGTAAGGCTTTTTTAATCTTGATAAATTTGTGTGCCTTTATAGGTCTTTGCAAACATATTACATTTCATAATAAAATTATCCTGCTGCATGTTACATTTTTATTGTATATGGAATTGTATAGTATTTGAAAATAGCATAGGAAAATTTCATTAATTATGTTGGCCAATAGTTTATTTATTTATTTATTTTTTACTATAGCAACCAGATAAACAGAAATGCAAAACATATCAAGCAGAAAGGATAAATAATGGCCTTTAGTGTTAAGTGGCCCTTAAATAAACAATTATTAAGCTCTTACTATTTCTTGGCAATATGCTAGACACTGGGGATTAAAAAGACAAATGTGTAATAGCTTACATTCTATTGGAAGGAAGGAAGGAAAGGTGTAGCAGAGGAGTCTGCACAGAGTAACATATAAAATAGATGCAATATAGATATAGAGTAACTTCGAGAGGAAAAGGGAGTGTGGACATTTCTTAAATGAGAGAGGATCAGGATAGGTTTTCTGTAGAAGGTGGGATTTGATCCTTAAATGAAGCAAGAGGTTGGTTTTTTCTTTTTTTAGGTATAGGTAAGGAAGGAGTGCATTACAGATATGGAAGACAGCCTGTGTAAAGTTACTGAGTTGAGAGGGTTAGAATGTCATGGAAGGGCAACAACAAGTAAGTAATATTGGGGTTGGAACCTAGAGCGTGAAGAAGAGGAATGTGCAGTAAGTCTGGAGAAGCAGACAGGAGCCAGATTATGAGAGACTTTGAATGTTGAGTGTGGTGTGGTATGTTTGAAAGAGAGACTTCCTCAGGGCTGGGAAGACCTGGGTTCAGTTCCACCCTCTTGACTGTCTATGTGATCTTGGACAAATCACTTAACTTGTCAATACCCTAGGCAGCTCTCCAAGATTATAAGTTTCAGAGAAGGTGCTGATCTATGTTGTTAGAGAAAATTTCCTCATTCAGGAGTTCTCTGTGCTAATAAATTCACTGGTCCAATGATTGACCTCTGTCTCCTATCCTTAAAAATCAAATGAACACATTTGTCTTTTAATGTAAATGCAAGAGGGAATTATAAGAGCTTTTTAAGTAGTGAAGGAGAATGATTAGACCTGTTTTGTGGCATGAAAGGATACAAATGGTGTTAATTATTAATCAAAAAAAGTTGTTGCTATCTTAATGTATAATACTTGTGCAACAATCAGGGAGTTAACATATTTGAAAACAACAACAAAGAAGAAAAATGAGAAGACAAACTCATACTTGCTTTCTCACATCTATAAAATACTTGAAAATGGCATATGCACATATTGAGGGTATCCTCATTCTAAATACACAAAAAGAACAGGTTTTTACAGGCACTGTTCTATAGCAGATCATATCTGGACTGGACTGATTTATATTTTATCCTGTATGTTTTGGACTAGTGCTCTAGGGGGACAGATGAGCTAGGCTCCGAAGTGAGGAGATTGGGTTACATTATTCTTAAGAAATTGCTTAATATTTTCAATTACTCTTTGCTGTTTATTTTTTGGAAAGCCCATTTCTTTATCACCCACATTCTCTCATGATGTCATATAAATGTGAATCATGGAATACCACACTGTCTCAGATGAAGCAAAATTACAGGTGACCCAAAGAATGATGGAAAGATTTATGTCTTCTTGTCTTTAAAGGACTATTAGATGGAAGAAGTTTTAGACAAAGTTCTCTTTGTTCCTAGGGGGCAGAATGAGGGAAAATGAGAACTGTTTCAAAGAAGTATATTTAGATCTACAGAATGATGTACTTACTAATAGAACTTTATGATACTGCAGTGGGCTGCTTTGCAGCCATTGAGTTCCCATTTCATTGGAGATCTTAAAGTAGAGGCTGGATGACCACTAGTTGGGGATTTTAAAAATGAGGTTACTGTTCATTTAAAGGTTGGTTTAGCTCACCTCTGAACATCCTCTCTACTCTTGAGTGTGCTATTCTTTAATTTATTTACTAAGTTTTTGCAGTAAGTACAGTTGATGTGAGGATCTGAGCTAGTGTGGTTGCAATAGAAGTGAAAGGTTTCAGGAGATATTAGAGGTAAAAATCAATGGGTTTTGGCAACTAATTATATAGGTTGGGAGATGATGAAAAATGAAAAGGTAAAGATGATCCATATATTTTGAGTATGGATGCCTGGGAAAAGGGTAGTTCCATTAATAGAAATAAAGACATTAGAAGGAAGGGCAGGTTTGGAGAGTAAGATGATTTCAGTTTTGGATATGTTGAATTTGAAGCATGAGCAGGACATCCAAGTGGAAATATTAAACAAGCAATTGGAAGTATGGGACTGCTTTAGGGAGAAGTTTAGGTGAGAGAGACCGATTTGAGAATTAGCTATATAGAGGTGACAATTGAAGCAGTCAGAGTGGAAGCTATGGCTAATCAAGAGGGTGTAGAGAAAAGAGGAGTGCAAAGGACATCCAGAGTTAAGTGGTGTGGCATGACTGGTGAAGCACTCAAATCATGCTGCAGGCATTGCAATGTATGCCACACAGTTTCTCAGAGCCTGTTTCCTTATCTGTAAAGTGGGGATGATAATATCAGTTGTGTTGCTTTCCTTTCACAGTTTTTTATGAGGAAAATCATTTGCATACTTTAAAATGCTTCATGTATAAATGTGTTATGTACCCATTTTTAAGGGAGTGGTAGCAAGATAAAGATCCAGACAAGTTTAATAGTAGGAGCAGTCAGGTAGGACAGGAAGTGTGGGAATGAAATACCATGGAAACCAGAGGAGGAGTAAGTATCAAGAATGAAAAGGCTACTTAACAATATCTAACCCAGTAAGCATTAATTTGCTTTCAGTCATACTGAAGGCACTGTTAGGTGCTGGGGATACAAAGGCAAAATGAAAAAAATGCGGATATGTCAAGGATGAGGACTTAAAAGGCTGTTAGATTTGGTACATGTGTTCCTTTGTTGCATTTTTATAATACAACTATTCATAATACAATTGTCTTATTTCCTCATATTTCCATTCTCGAGGGCTGTTTTTCCAGGCCTTATGACTAAATATAATCACCTATTTCTGAACTATAGTCTGGCTTGTGATAACTTTTATTTTTAAAGTTGAGTCACTTCAAACTAGAAGATAAAAAATATTTTTAATATTTTAAAAATAGCTTTGTCACACATGCATGATTATGAAGTCAGAATACTGCTTTGAATGTGTGCAGTTTAGTTGCATGAGTTTTTTAAATGTATGGGTTCATTCTTGAATTTTATTAAAAATTGTCATTTAGTTTAAAGGCATTTTTAATGACCAATGGAAAATTGATTCCTGCTAACTATAGTATCATTGTTAAGATAATTTAAATATAAAATATGAACTAATTCTAAAGTTAAGCATGTTATTTTCTTATTCATAAAAATATTTGGCAGTGTGTAGCCATGGCAGTATTTTAATTAACCCTTTGTTTTAATTTTTCACAGGGCTTTTTACTTTAATCTTAGCTGCAGTGTTTCCAAGTAACAGTGGAGACAGATTTACTCTTTCTAAACTATTAGCTGTCATTTTATGGTAAGACTATCAAATGATAAGTACTTTGTTCTGGTCAAAAAGAGTTACTTTTTTTCTGGTCCTGGGGTATTGGGGATGCATTGGGATATAGGGAAAGATGGTACAACATTGTACAAACAGGGATGGTATCCCACATAGGCCAAAGCAAAAGAAAAATATGAGTGGAGATTTGAAGGTGATGTCATGCTGCTCATGTCTGCCCTGGGTTCCTCTTAGGAAAAATAATGTGAGAAGGGAGTTAGACATTATTGGTTTTCGATTTAACAAATGTTTTTAGAACTCCTCTGTGCAAAGAATGATAACAAGAGCTAAGAATACAAAGATTATAGAAAACAGTCCCATATTTCAAGGAATTTACAGTCTAATGGAAGGGTGCCAGGAGGGGGATTTATCTTAAATATAAATAAACCTTTTACTACTCTTCCAACAACCATGGATTTCCTTTTGTATGTGACCATTACTTGCTTTTTTTTTTTTAAATCATGTTGATTGGTATAGATACAAAAACAATTTCTACATGGAATTTAGTTCTAACTTTTAATCCTAAATTTGAGTTAATATACTAAATAGAGAGCTCTGGCAATAAAAGATATGTTAAAAAGTGACTTTAAAAAACTCGAGTATTTTGATCAGTCTGATGACCAGATGTGATTCTAGAGGATTTATGGTGATGGAGTCTGTAGCTATTTCTTAACAAAGAGGTGATGGACACAGAGTGTAAAATAAGATATACTTTTGACACAGCCAGAGTAAGGTTTTTGGGTTTTTTTTTTGGCTTGAAAATACATATTAATTATAAAGGCTTTGTTTTGTTTTGTTTTTTTTCTCCCCCAAGAGCAGAGATTGGGAGGGTAAGAAGGGATAGAATGGGAAAAAAAGAAACAAAGAAAAGAGAGTATTCGGCGTCTTTTTTAGAAAATGCATAGAAGAAAAAGTAAGGAAGGCCAGAAAGAAGTACAGACACGCATGACAGCTTTGAAAGCTATAGATTGAACTTACATACTTTAAAAGAAAAATAAGCTGTATATAATAGAGCCCCGAAGTTTCATATATAATCCTGTTTTTTTTTCTGTTCTACACATGAGAATGCCCATTTTATTTGGTGTTAAGTTCAGAATAAAAAAATGAACGCCAGCAGAATCCTTTAAGGGAAAACACCTATCGGCTATTTCTGTTGCTATCCTGATTTCTGATCCATGGATTGTATAATCAGACTTCTTATCTTTTTGAATGATGTAATGGCTGATGAATTTCTCAGCCATAGCAACTCTCCAAGACCATCTACTAAGTGGCATAGGGATTGTGACTTGCTACAATGGAGAGAAGTGACCACATCAAAGAAAGAATAAATCCTTAAAGTAAAGGTTAAGAATTTCATTATTCCATTTAAAGAGATGCATTTTGGAAGAGGTTAATAAGATTTAGAATTGTAAGGGAACTTAGAGATCATCTAGTTCAACCCTTTTATTTTATAGATGAGGAAAACTGAGGACCAGAAATGTTAAGTGACTGGTCTAAAGTCACACAGCAAGCAAAGGTAGGATCTGAACCCAAGTCATCCTACAGTACTATACTACAGAAAGTTGGGAACGGAAATGCTGACCTTTGCCAAATCTTAAATTGGTTAGGTCTTTGATTTAGCCTCATTTTTCACCTATGAATATGATAGATTTATACTTTTAACTTTTTCTGTAGCAGAATGTCATTATTTTTGTTTTGCATATAAAATAGTATATTTATGGGGTTCAAGAAAAAACATTGTTACCTTTATAAATTTGAAGTTTTTTTCTTTATCCTTTAAAAATCTCTGAAATTTAATCATAGCTAACATTTTAATAATTCTCAATACACTAGTCAACAAGCATTTATTGAAAGTTTACTATGTGCCAGGCAATGTGCCAAGTGCTAGAGATACAAAGAAAAATAAAAAGCAGTCCTTAACCTCAAGGAGATTACATTCTAATGGAGTAGACAGCATGTACATAAGAAGTTGCATGGATAATTACAGAGTGGATTGCAGCTAACCTTATGAGGGAAAGCACTGGAAGCTGTAGGACTGGAAATGGTCTCCTGTAGCAGGTGGCATTTGAGCTGAGCTAGGGGTTCTAAGATCTAGAGGTGGGGGAGGAGAGAAGACATTACAGGGATTGGGGACAACCAGTGTAAAGCTGTGGAGATAGGAGATGGAGTACTTCTTGTCCCTTACTTCCTTCAATATCCAGCTTAAATTCATAAACAGAAATATATCTAAAGAAGTTTGACCTGAATTTTAAAAAAGCAAGTTTTATGAGTTTTTTTTATCCCGTTGGTCACACACACACACACACACACACACACACACACTTTCCACTCTGTACCTCACTCTACCCATTTCCCTGACTTGAATTTAACAAACATATATCAATCAGCTATGAAGGATAGTTTGGTAATATAAATGCTTGTTGACTGTTTAATTCTGCAATAAACAATAACCTTTTTTTTTTTTTTAACTTTTAACTAATGTGAGGATTAGTGGCTGTAAGTAGGTTAAAGATCTTTCACTCAAAATTTTTATTTTTACAAATAGTCCTCTTTTTCCCATAGCATTGGAGGTGTTGTGCTGGTAAACCTTTCAGGGTCTGAGAAATCAGCTGGAAAAGATACAATAGGTATGTACAAGTCTCTGTCTGTGTAGAAGAAGGCTTAACTTATATATAGAGAGATATCATTGTATATCTTTTATGTATCTATAAGCTAAATGATAAATAGTTGTTAAATAGTGATAGGAACTAGATTTTCACTTTCAGTAGGTAGCAGGATCTCTCAGATGAGGAAACTTCCTCTAATAATGCTGGTTGGCATTTTTTCTATAATTTATAGCCTTTGAATGTTTTCTTGAGCACTGAGAAGTTATGTGTGACCTGCTCAGGGTTATATTGCCAATACATGTGAGGGGCTGGACTTGAACAGTTTTTCCTGGCACTGAGAAAAGCCCTTTATACATTATATCACACTTTTTCCACTCTGTTGAATTAATCTTCATATTTTATAGGAGTATGTATATAGCAGATTATGTGTGTATGCATCTATAGTTATATACACACCTTTATGAGTATAAGGTAGCACAGTAGAGTGGGGTGAGGGGTGGATTTGAGGTCAAAAACTTAAGTTCAGATCCTGGCTATCCTGCAGACTTTCTGTGTTACTGTGGGCAAGTCACTTAATATCTTTGTACTTCAGTTTCCTCATCTATTCTTTTAGCCCCCAAATTATATTCATATGCAAAATAGTATGAACATAGATATCTAGGGATATTTCAGTTATTTGTCATTCAAATTCTGACTTTCACCTTTACCATTTGTTTAGTTCTGAATGTCTTTATTAGTTATGGAAAGTCCTTTTATGGAGTGAATGTCAGGAGACAGTGAAAAACCAAAATGAAGAAATGAATGCAATGAAATTTTTGATGTGCTCAAAATTATCACAAAGCAAATAGATGATATTTGACTTGTTTGAGATTTAAATACTTTTGATGATTTATTAAAATTTCACATTCAAAAGATATTCAAGAGACAATAGTTCATTTACTAAGTATTTATTATATATCTTCTGTATAGCTGGTACTATATCCTGTCTTCAAGGAGCTTAAAATTAGTTGAGCATATGTCATTTAAGTGCATTATTCAATTGGAGAACAATATAAGACAGTGAATATATAACTGCAATAAGTACTAAATTATGTGGTAAAGACAACAGTAAGAATTAAGGGAAGGGAAAGGTCAGTGTTGACTGGAGTAGTTGGAGAAGACTTTGCAGAGGATGTGGGATTTGAGTTGGTCCTTGACAGATGGGTAGGATTTGCACGGAGAAGAATAGAAACGTTATAAAGACACAACATTAGGGAGATGGAAATAGCAAATGTGTTTTAACAGTACATCAAAAACATTGCTTTAAATTATTTTTATTTTTACAGGTTCCATTTGGTCTCTTATTGGTGCCATGCTTTATGCTGTCTATATTGTTATGATTAAGAGAAAAGTAGACAGAGAAGATAAATTGGATATACCAATGTTCTTTGGTAAGACTATTAATTCATAGGACTTTTTTCTAAATGACTCAGTCACTATCTCTGTGTTGTAATTGTTATTTTCATATTTTGATATTTAATTTTCTTTAATTTATAAAGGTGTCTAGGATCATGAAATTTTATCACAATAAAGGGTTTTAGTTAATTAAGTAGTTTACTCCTCACCCTTACCTCCACCTCTGTTTTGCCATTTGTACTGTACACTACATTGTGGGTTAATTCTATCCTCCCTGCTTGGGAAAGAAAATTATAGAATTCCAGAATCTAAACTGGAAGAAAAGTACATCAGAATTCATTTAATCCAACTTATATTTGAGCAACAAAGGCCTTTGTAATTTATCCAAAAATTGGGTATTTAGCCTTTACTTGAAGACCTCCTGTAAAAGGGAAACCACTCCCTCCCAGGACAAATATACTAAAATACCTACACCATGTAAGGATAAAATAAAAGAGAAATATCAGCCAATATTATTAATGAATGTTAATTAAAAATTTTTAAGTCTATCAAATAGGCTTCAGTAGTTATTTAAGAAATCTTTCATTATGACCAAGTTGCATTTATACCAGGATGTTTCAGCATTAGGAAAACAACATAATCATATTTAAAACAAATATCCAAAACCACATGATTATCATAAAAGATGCAGAAAAAGCCTTCAACACAGTACAACAGTAATTAATTCTTGAAAGCCCTACAAACTGTAGGCACAGAGGATGTTTTTTTAATATAAAAAAACTGAAACTAAATGCATTAGAAGCTTTCTCAGTAAATAATAGAACAAAACAAGGAGTGCTTTTTCTTCTTGCTATTATTTGACTTCGTTCTAGAAATGCTAGCAGTAACAGTAAGATGGAATGGTAATAACTAATTATAGCGATCGACAGCATTTATACAATGCTCTAAAGTTTACAAAAGGTGCTGTTATTATCCCCATTTTTACAGTTGAGGAAACTGAGTCAGAGGTTAAGTGACTTGCCCAGGTTGATAAAGCTGAGGTCAGATTCCAACTCAGATAGTCCTGACTCCACATCAGAAATAGCCATCTACATTATGTGAAATAGGTAAAGAAACCAAAGGTATAAACATAGGCATAGAGGAGATAAAATTCTTCCTATTTGCTGATGATTTGATTATTTACTTAGAAAACCTTGGGAAATTATTGCTTCGACAGCACATATACTAAAATTGAAACAATAGAGATTAGCATGGCACCTACGCAAGGATGACACGCAAATTCGTGAAGCACCACATACTTTTAATTGAAGGTATTAGAATAGGCGAAGAACAAACAGAGCTATCACTCTTTGCAGATAATATGATATACTTAGAGAACACTAGAAAATCAAGTAAAAAACTTCTTGAGGGTCAGGTAGGTGGCGTAGTGGATAGAGCGTCGGCCATGGAGTCAGGAGGACCTGAGTTCAAATTTGATGTCAGGCACATAACACTCACTAGCTGTGTGACTCTGGGCAAGTCACTTAACCCCAATTGTCTCACCAAAAACAAAAACAAAAACCTACTTGAAATAATAAACAACTTTAGCAGAATTGCAGGATATAAAATAAACCCACATAAATCATCGACATTTCTGTATATTACTAACAAAGTCCAATAGCAAGGGATAGAGAAATTCCATTTAAAGTTGTTATAGACATTATGAAATATTTGGGAGTCTGCCTGCCAAAACAAATTCAGAAACTACATGAACACAATTGCAAAACACTTTTCGCACAAATAAAGTCAGATCTAAATAACTGGAAAAACATCAGTTGCTCATGGGTAGGCCGAACTAATACAATAAAAATGACAATTCTACCAAAATTAATTTACTTATTCAGTCCCATACCAATCAAATTACCAAAAATTATTTTGTAGAGCTAGAAAAATTAATAACAAAATTCATTTGGAAGAACAAAAGGTCCAGAATATCAAGGGAACTAATGAAAAGAAATGCACGGGAAAGTGGCCTAGCCATACCAGATCTTAAATTATATTACAAAGCAGCAGTCGTCAAAACTACTTGGTACTGACTAAGAAATAAGAGTGGTGGATCAGTGGAATAAGTTAGGTTCACAAGGCATAGTAGTCAATGACTATAGTAATTTGCTTTTTGATAAACCCAAAGACTCCAGCTTCTGAGATAAGAACTCACTATTTGACAAAAATTTCTGGGAAGACTGGAAGAGTATGGCAGAAACTAGGCATAGACCAACATCTTACATCGTATGCCAAAATAAAGTCAAAATGGGTACACGATTTAGATATAAAGGCTGATACTATAAGCAAACTGGGAGAGTATGGAATAGTTTACCTGTCAGATTTATAGAGAACGAAAGAATTTATGACCAAACAAGAGATAGAGAACATTATGAAATGCAAAATGGATCATTTTGATTACCTTAAATTGAAAAGTTTTTGCACAAACAAAGCCAACGTAATCAAGATTAAAAAGGAAGGAGAAAGCTGGGAAACAATTTTTACAGCCAGTGTCTCTGATAAAGGCTTCATTTCTAAAATATATATAGAGAACTGAGTCAAATTTATAAGAATACAGGTCATTCGTCCATTGATAAATGGTCAAAGGATGTGAACGCAATTTTCAGATGAAGAAATTAAAGCTGTTTGTAGTCATATGAAAAAATGCTCTAAATTACTATTGATTAGAGAGATGCAAATCAAAACAACTCTGAGGTACCATATCACACCTATCAGATTGGCTAACCTGACAAAACAGGAAAATGATAAATACTGGAGAATATGTGGGAAAATTGGAATACTAATGCATTGTTGGTGGAGTTGTGAACTGATCCAACCATACTAGAGAGCAATTTGGAACTATACTCAAAGGACAGTCAAGCTGTGTATATACTCTTTGACCCAACAATACCACTTCTAGGTCTGTATCCCAAAGAGATCATACAAATGGGAAAAGGACCCACATGTACAAAATTATTTATAGCATGTCTTTTTGTGGTGGCAAAGAATTGGAAATTGAGGGGATGCCCATCAGTTGGGGAATGGCTGAGTAAGTTGTGGTATATGAATGTAATGGAATACTATTAATGATGAGCAGGCAGACTTCAGAAAAACCTGGAAACACTTATATGATATAATGCTGAATGAAGTGAGTAGAACTAGGAGAACCTTGTACACAGTGACAGCCCCATTGTACAATGACTAACTTCATAGACTTATCTCTTCTTAGCAATGCAAGGATTTAAGACAACTCCAAAAAACTCATGATGAAAAATGCTGTCCACATCCAGAAAAAGAACCATGGAGTCTAAATGCAGATTGAAACTCATTATATGCACTCTCTTTTTTTTTTTTGTTTCTTCTTTCTTGTGATTTCTCCCATTGGTTCTGATTCTTCTTTACAACATGACTAATGTGAACATAGGTTTAATATGAATGTATATGTTGAGCCTATATAAATTTACACACTGTCTTGGGGTGGGGGAAGTCAAAATCTTATTGAAGTGAATGTTGAAAACTAAAATAAATTTATGAAAAAAAAATCTTGGCGAATCAATAAAGATTTAATTATGACATTTAATGCCTTTGCCAAAGTCATAGGCTGCAAAATAAACCCTTAAAAATCAATAGCTTTTCAGTATAATAATAACAGAGTTCAAGAGGTAATAATAGAGAAATCTCATTCACATTAACTGCAAAATGCACCAGATATTTGGGGATCAATCCAGCAAAGCATATAAAATACTCGCATAGATCCATTTATAAAATGCTTCTTAAAGAACAACTTAAGTAGCCGAGGAAATATTCAGTGCTTATAGGCTGTTCCAGTATAAAAAATATTACTATAAAGATTAGTTTACAATTTTAATGCTTTTCTAATCATACTTATAAACAATACATATTATAGACTTAAAATAATATTCATTTGGAGAAAGAAAAGATCTGTAGAATATCCAGGGAAATAATGAAGAGGTACGAATGAAGGGGCAATAGCACTTCTAGACTTCAAACTATGTTATAAAGCAAGCTATTAAAACCATTTGGTTTGGGTAAAAAAAAAATTGAGATATAGAACAGTGGAATAGACTTAATAAAAGAGAATTGGAAATAATGGAACTTCATAAGCCATGACTTGTTCTTGTTGAAGACATGTTACAAAGTTATGATTCTTTGTAATTGCTATAGCCCTTTCAAGTTGTTTACCAGTTCTTTTAATATTGTCTTCCAAGGTTTAACAGGAATTGAAGTCAGGTTTATTGGCTGTGTTTTCTTAAGGATAACTTAGTTATTTACCCGACGATCATTTCCACATGTGTGTGTATGTATCTCCTTTCTTTTCCTCTCCACACTAACCCCCAGAACCACCTAATGAAGAAAACTGACCAAATAGTTATGAAAAACTGAGCAACACAGCAACCATGTTTAACAGTGTATCCAACATTGTTGACTTGTGATTTGCACACTCCACTTTATGCCTTTTTTGAAAATCAAAGTATTTGTCCTCCAGTACTTTAGTGCATCACCTTCTACACTGAAATATAGCTTTCATGGACCTGGTGGCAGGTCCATGGTCATCTGGGTACTTTTTTTTAACTGTCTCCCTACTTGGGTTCTACTCCTTGACCGTGTACACAGGAATGACCCGTGTGTGTGAAGAATGTCTATTGCCCAAATTACGACAAGTATTAGGATGAACTGTTTATAGAACTTGTTTGTCAGTACATGTATCTGGGTTAGACAGTAGATAGACAAGTTGTGTACAGAGTTGAAAACGACGAAGATAGTAGGATAGCTTGCCTTTGGGAAATTGCTGGGCCTCTTTAATGACCCTACATGTCCCAAAAACCAGTGCCAGTCTTTTAAATACCAGTGTTCTTTTGGTGTTGCAATATGGCAATGAGACATGGAATACAAGTCTCTGAATTATTAAAAATGAATTATCACACAGGACTCTGGTAGCATGTGGTAGATGTGACTGAGCAGTGACAGAACCAAAATGAGAAATGTTGAATAGGTGTAAAAGACATCACTAAGGAAATATATGGTAGGAAAAGAAGAGAGGCTGGTTATGTGATGAGGATGAAGGAAAGAGGTGACAGGCATATAACCAGAGTGTATATGACCCAGGGGCATATACCCTCCTAATGTCAGGAGAAAATGAGAGACCTCTAGCATGATGGATGGATCACCTGTGGCGAGCTTGTGGAAGGATATGGACGTGAATAACACAGGGTGGGCAGTCACCAATGGGTTGCGATCTTCATTGTTGGAGATCAACTTCCAAATTGATATTAGCAAATCCATTTGAATATCTGAGTATTCGTCTCCCTCTTAACCATTTTTCTTTTATTTCCAGGAGAGAAAACAGAAGTGCAAGAGTTGAATAGTTTGCCTTCTCTTAATGTCCATAATTTGTCTGCCCCAAGCCAAAGTTTTTGAGCTTGTTTTCATTGCCCTTAGCATTCCTTTCTACCTTCTCTCTGTGAATTTTAAGCTTTTAGTGCAAAACTATTAATGTATTTTCTCTCAGAGTATAATGTGAATATAGTTGGAAATGAGAATTCTTTATTTTACTGCCAAAAGAGAACTCCTTTATTGAGTCACATCACTTTACCTCTCTGCTAGGTAATGTAAATCTCATGAGACAGTTAATCTGTTCTTGTTTTTGCATATGACAGTTTGTGTACCATAGAAAACATAGGAATGCATTCACTGTGGCAGGATTAGGAATATCACTTTTGTTCTGTGGTTTTATTGCCGTACTAAGAAAAAAGATCATGTGGGCATTTGGAATTGGTTTTGCCTGACATTTCCTTATTGAAATTAAAAGTGTTATGGTACCCACAGCTAGGTGGTACAGTGGATAGAGTGTCAAGCCTGGAATCAGGAAGACATCTTCCTTAGTTAAAATTGGCTTCAGACACTTAATAGCTGTGTGACCCTGGGGAAGTCACTTAACTCTGTTTCTGATCTGTAAAATGAGACGGAGAAGGAGATGGCAAACCACTCCAGTGTCTTTGCCAAGAAAACCTCAATGGTGTCACAAAGACACGACTGAAAACAATTGAACAACGAATACAGTTTTCAGACCCCTTGAACTCACCATCCCTTGGATTTGTGGTTTCTGAAATATAAATCCATCCATTCTCTGTTACCTAACACCTGCTTAATAATAAAACTTTTGTTCATAGGACTCTTTGCTGAAAATGAGCAGACTCCTAGGCTCTTTTGGAAGCTCACTTCCATCGTAATGAAGAAGAACCTTATAAAGGCTGTTCTTTGTTTCTGTGTCCATTATTTTCTTCAGATAAGGAAGCCATATGGTATTGTAAGGAGAGACTTTGGCACAGAGTCAGAAGGCCTAGGAGAGCCTTTTTGGCTTTCCTACCAGTTTGCTGTATAATCTTGAGCCACCCTGTTAACCTCTAGGCCTCAGTTTCTGAATCTGTGAAATGAAAAGGTTGATCTATTTTCTTTCTAAAGTTGCTTCTGGCTTTAAAATCGAATTCTTAAACATAGTAGTGAAAATAATTTTAGGAGATGAGCACTATCAAAACTAAACTTCAGTGAAAAGATATGTAAGTAAAGTTATATATCCAAGTATAATGCATGTAAATAAAGTGTTGTATTAGTGACATGTTGTTTCTTTTTCTTAACATTTCAAAAAGAAAATTTTTCCTACTTTTATAGGGGATAACTAGTTTACTAAACTACCTTCAACCATGACATGATGTGTCAAATCTAAATTGGTTTGAAATCTTAAGTTTTCTTTCCTAGTGTAATGTTAAGAGTTGGAAAAGATTTTTCTTTTGAAAAAGTGTTGCTTCCTTAAACTCTTTCTCTAATAAACTTGTTATTCTTTAGCACTAGAATGAATTATTACAAAGTTTTGTTCAGATCATTTTTATTTAGCATCTGTGATGTGAGGAGTTTATTTGCAAAACCAAGATATGTGTCAAATATAATGATATACAGAGTACTGTAAACAGAGGAGGAGAGAAGTCACTATACTAGAATTGTCAGAATGTAAATGTGTGGAAGAGGGGGAAATTGAACTGAGCCTTGAAGAATCAGTAAGATTTGGATAGGTCAGTCAATTGATCAGCAAGAATTTCTTAAGTTTCCACTGTGTGACAGGCACTCACAATTGTGTGTGTGTGTGTGTGTGTGTGTATGTATCTATGTATCTATGTATCTGTCTGTCTCTGTCTGTGTAGAGAAAGAGAGAAGGTTGGAATATGTAGAAGCTTCTTAAAGAAAATGGCACTTGTGTTTGGCACAGTGCCCAGTACTTAAACTTAATAAATGCTGGTTGACTAAATTTTGCAGGAAACCAGTGATTCCAAAAGGGGGAGGTGAAGATGGACAGTATTCCACACATGGGAAGCAACCACTGCAAAGGCACAGAAGTGAAAGATGTTGTGGGTGAGGAACAGCAAAGTGGCCAGTATAGCTGGACTGTAGTGGAGAATAATGTATAAGAACACTAGAAAAATAAGAGGAACCCTGGTTTTGAAGAGCTTTAAATGCAAGAGGACTTTATATTTACTTCCATTTGAGAGCCACTGGTGTTATGCATGTGTATGTGGGGTTGATGTGGTGAGACCTCCTCCTAAGGAAAATTTCTTTAGTGGCTATGCAATGAATAGTTTGGAGTGGAGAGAAACTTGAGTTAGAATAACTAATTCGGGGGCTATAGCAATAATCCATGGACCTACTTTAGGGTGGCAGCTATGTTAAGTGAATAAAGGGAGTACATAAGATGATCTGGTGATAGAAATGATAAGATTTGACAACTCTTTGGATATGTGCAATGAATGAGAGGGAGGAGTAATGGATGGCATCAAGGTTGTGACCTGAATGAGTGAAAGAATTATAGTGCCCTCAGCAGTAACAGGGAAGTTTGGAAGAGGTTGGTTTTTTGGGAAAGATAGTGATAAAACTGTTTTGGACATGTTTGAGTTTGAGATCTTGGAAGTACATTTGATTTGAAATGTTCAATTGGCAATTGGTGATGCTGGACTGGAGCTTAGGCATGGAAGAAAGAATTCATAAAGCTTATTCTGGCCGCATTGGAGCTGAGAATTCATGTAGAGGAGGAGTGGGAGTTCAGCTTGGAAAATGAGGATGCAACTAGTTGATGGAGTTTATTGAATGACAGAATGAGTAGTTTCGACTTTATCTTGTAGGAATACTTCAACAGATTTATGATCTCATTGATGTAGGCACTGCAGTTTGTGCAAATCATAGCCCATCCATGGCTTTTCATCCTTTTTGATTCTTGTCTCTCCCCATAAATCTTTCAAAAGCTATCTACCTTTAGGTCTTCTAGAATCACAGGGATACCAGTAACAAACTCATTCTTTCCATCATTCATGCTTACTAAATAACTTGACAATGGCATGTCACAAAACTTTATATGATATATCACGCATTGCTATTTTTCAGTCCTATTTAGGAAATGGAATCTAGAAGGTTTTATGATTCTTTATCTAAGACAACCATCAGACTTTGTCATACCCTTCCTCTACCCCTCTATGCCATACAGTATTGGTGGAAAGAACCAGACATACTTATTTCATAGAAGAGATAACAAATTAGTTGTAATCAAATATTTGAAGGACTGTGGAAGAGGGAGTAGAGTCATTTTGTTTGAGACCAGAGGGCAAAAAAAAAATTATGTGTGTAGAAATAGAGACAAATTTAGGTTTGAAATAAAGAAAAAACTTCCTAATTTGAAGGACCCCAAAGTGGAATGGACTGCTTCTTAAAGTATTGATTTCCTCTTTACTGGTGGTCTTCAGGAGAGGTTGGATGACCATTTTCAGAGAATGTCATAGAGGGATTCCTGTCCCTACCAATTCCTGAGGTTCCTTCCAACTCAGTTTGTGATTTTTGTGGAACTCTTCCTTGTTTTTCGTGTTCTCGAATTTTATCCCCTGCTTATTGAGATATTAGGTGCCTAGAGATGACAGTAGATATAATTTGTTTCTTATGTCGTTCCTCTCCTCCCTCCCCAGTCAACCTTAGCAATACTTTGTGAACCTTAGGGATTCCCTGAAATATCTTCTAAAATCTGTTGGTCCATGACATTCATAACAAGAATAGAACAGACCTTATTTTTAAAAAGATATAAATTGGGAATCCCCTTCTGTGTCATTACAAATGTAAATATACCAATTTCATTTATATGGCACTAAAAACATGTTGCCTTTTATTATAGTTATTTGTATTTGGTCTGTGTGTGTTCCTGAAGAGCAAGGACAACAAATATTTGTTGACTAAAGTAAAAACTCGAACTGCCCAATTTTTCAATGACAATTTGGATTCTAATATCTTTAGTGGTTATATCATTCTGCACTAAGAAGTTCTCTATTGTTAGTAACTATGTTCAACCCTATTTTAAAATAATTTAAAGTAGTTTATTTTGCATTATTTTAGTAGTGGTTCTCACCTTCTGTGGTAGTTTAAATTTAAGAGAATGTTCACCAGTTTTTTAATACAGTTTTTGCCTTAAGTTATAAAACATTCGCCAGGGAACAAGCCTTTTACAAAACCCCTAGGGAATCAAATAATTAAGATCCTCATGCCAGATGCAGGGATATAGTTTTACAATAAAAAGTTTTGAAAGTGAAATAAATTACAGTGACTAACCCTGATTCTCTTATATGTGTGTTCAGGTTTTGTAGGTCTCTTTAATCTGCTGCTGTTATGGCCGGGCTTCTTTTTACTTCATTATACTGGATTTGAGGCCTTTGAGTTTCCCAATAAGTTAGTGTTAATGTGCATTGTCATTAATGGCCTAATTGGAACAGTTCTCTCAGAGTTGCTGTGGTTATGGTATGTACTATTTATTTTATATAGATATTATTTTTATTATTAAGGATACCAACTACGGACGTTTCTCATCTAACTCCGTTCATTGAGCCCATGAAAACTTTTATCCTTCTAGGAAGCAGTATAGTACCTTAAGAACAACGTTAAAATAGTAGAGAAGTTTGGAGGGAAGAGTTTTGAGGGGAGGGTAGCATTGCCTGGTTCTGAGAATGGAGAGTGGGATAGTAGAGGCTGGACAAGGTTCTACGACCGAATAGGGTAGAGTCAGGAACCCCCCCCAAAAAAACTTTAATTTTTGGTACTTGTTGAAAATTCTTTCCCCTTGGGGTCTAAAAAATACTGATTTTTATATTAAACCATGGGTTGATAGAAGCTTTAGTTGAAGGAATAGGGTCTCTGCTTATCATGCAGAGTATTAGGAGAGAATAAACTAAGTTTGAATAGTTATTTGAAACATTTGAGCTGTTGATGAAGGACAGAGGAAGAGGATGCAGGATGGAGAGGAGCTTGGAAAATCTTTTGTAAGGGGTTGAATACTGATAAAATCCCAGGAATTGTTAAAGCATGGCTTTGAGTATAGCTGAGTTGGAATGAGGATCACTAGAGCATAGTGGAACTAGGTCAAGAGGGTTAGGAGGAACTGAGTTAGAAAGATTTTTAGTCCAACTCTTCCCCCTACCCTCTTTTTAAAAAATACAAATGAGGAAAATGAATTCTAGGGAGATGAAGTGGCATGACCCCTAAGGCTTGACAATGGAGTGGCAGAACTTCATCCACAATACCATGGTGGTTAGTATCATGTAAGATACCTCTGAAAGTTAAATGAGATTTACACACACACACACACACACACACACACACACACACACTTTAGTAATCACAGAATACTCAATATTGACTTGTTCTTTAGTGCCAAGAATCTTTAGAACAGGGTTTCTTTATATTTTTTGTGTTATGAACCCCTATGACAGTGTGGTAAAACTTATGGACCCCTTTTCAAAATAATATTTTTAAATGCGTAAAATAAAAAATGTAGGATTACAAAGGACACCGATTATATGAAATAAAGATGTAATTTTGTTTCCCCATTCAAGTTCGTAAACCCCCTGAAGCCTATCCACAGACCTCGTGGTAGAGTCTGGACTCCAGGTTAAGAAATCTACAGAAGGATGAAAGCTTTACTTCTGATCCCTTTTTTCATTTAGTGGCTTAAAAAAAAAAGAAAAAAAAAGCCTACAAAATTGCATCTTTACTAGTAGTTGATAATATCTCCTTCTGAATGCCTTAACTTCTTTGTTTTTACTTCTTTTATGGTATTTAATACATTCTCCTTTGTGTTTTTACTTGCTGTTTTTATTATTTGTGTATTGTGTGTTTATTTTATGTCCTGAGATTTTAAGGTACTCGAGGTCAAGAACTGTTCCTTATTTTATCTTCACTTTCTTTACAGAAATTAGCATAGTGTCTTGCTCTATTCTACTAAAGCTGAACAAATACTTCCTTCAAATTTTGTTGTGCCTATTTTCTTTATGGAAACAAATTTTCCACTTTAGATCTTACACTTTAGGTAACTGTCTTGATTTACTCTGGTCCAAAAAACCTAAAACCCCAAAACACCTGGTGGCCAGTCTTCTCACGATGAACTTCTCTAAACTTAGGCAAGATGTCCTTTGGACTCCAAACGCTTAGTCTCATTAGGTCATGCTTTCGAAGCTTTTCCAACTTGGTTGTCTTTAAGAACCCAGTATAACTTTTATGCCATGATAAGGCCTTAAGAATGGAACTTTAATGAGTCCTCAAATATTAAATTTCTTTTCCTCCATTGGGTAGACAAAAGATTACAAAATGAGAATTTTTTCGGACTTATGTATCTTTTACATATGTAATGAGAAAAAATTACTTTTGGAAGTGGTCACTTTTTCTCAGGAGTATGGTCCACAGTAGTCCTCGTTATTTAAAAGGCATCTTTCTGCCATTGAAGAAAAGCTTGTCTTTTGTTCTCTTGTTCTGCCATTTCTCTTGTTTCTATCTATGACTACTCATTTTGGGCAAGTAAAAACCATTAGCAATTAGCATAATATTTTGATGGAAATATACATGGCTACTTTAAAATCTATACTTATTTTTATGAAATTCTTCTAGTTCAATTTGAATTGCAGAGTCTTAAATTAAGAAATTTTGGCAGAAATGAATGTGCATTTAAGAAAAGATTAAGTTCCTGCTGCTTGTCAGACCAGTGCTTTACATAAATCATTGAATTCTTAATTCACAATAATTTTTATCACTTTAAAGGTTAGCATGGCCTTTGTTATACACCATGATCTTAAACAAGGACTGTGGTACTTGCAGATATTTAAATTATCAATGTTCTGTGAATTATTTTTAAATTTTAAACATTTGCATGTAATACAGTTAGATCAACTAAATTTGTATCCTTACTGTGGCATACAGAACACAATTGAATGTGACTGATCTTGCCAAACTCCTCAGCCTCTCTGTGTCTCAGTTCTTTTGTTCAGAAATAGGGTAACAGTTTATTTCGTGACTATGTTATGACAGTAATGGAAAGCATATAAGTTAAATGGATTGTTTACATAGAGATTAAACCCAACGTTGTATTAGATGCCCAGTTGTGGTGATCAAAGTATTATTTTTTATTAGCTAGAACTTTTAGAGTCTTGCAAAACTGTATTTTTCCTGGTTTGCTCCTGTAACTTCTGGGAAAAAATATTCATGATTTTAAGTCACTTGTCTGTCAATAGGTTTTTATTGGAGGCTTATTACAAGCCCAGCTCACTGCTGGGTGCTGTTGTGGGCTTAAAAAAGACAGTGATGAATTTGTTTGGGGAAATGAGAGAAAATAATTAAAAGAGCAATTAGACACTGTACATACAAAATCAAATCCTGTAAGTGGTCTTATATTACCTTAAGTGAAATTAGAATTGGTGAAAGGAAAGGTGTCTGAAATGTTTAAAACATAAAAGAGGAATCCTATGAGTTTGTAGAAGTAGGCCATTGGGGACAAATAAAGTTAACTTTTATTTATAAATAGCAACAGTTCATTTTTCTGCAAATAGAGGATGTATGTTTTCCAGTTCTTTGTGAAATTCTACAAAATAATCCTAAAGCAACTTGCTTTTTCAGAATTAGTTACTAATATTCCAGAATTGAACATTAAAAATGTTTTAGATTATGAAATGAGTAGAGAAGTAGAGAGTACTGAGAATATGCATCATTTTTGGTATTCAGTTCTATAGGGTAGGCCTATTTTTCATTGTGACACTGACTTTGGGTTGGCCTAGAAATACTGATTGTTAGCCATCCCTTAGGTTACTTGATTCTCCCTCCTCCTCTTTTTAGTTGGGGGGCAGGAGTGGCATGAGCAGGGAGAAGGGACGCCTGCTATTTCATCTAGAGCTCCTAGAGAGCAACTTCTTTGAATCTTACAGAGTTCTCGGGGGTCACCAGGGGGTTAAGTGACTTGGCCCTGGTCTCAAAAGTGTTATGGACTAGAGGAGCGATTTCAACTTAGGTTTTCGTAACTCTGGAGACTTCTCAGACATACAGTCCTTCTCTCCTCCCCCACCAAACACATACATCCTTATTCTCATAAATTGAATGATTAAATCTTACTTTGTAATTTCATAATATCAGAACTTTAGAAAAGCTTATAGTTAATTTTAAATATATACATTATTTCTTAATGGAATATAACATACAATTTAGAGTTTAATTTTAGCTTGTCATAATGTTCTGTAGTTGTCTTAATTTTTTTTTTTTTACTGTTTTCCATTATTTTTATAGTAAGAATTTTTAATGGGTTTGGCATTTCAAGTTTACCGTTAAGAAGGATTGTTTTAGCAATATGACATTGTTTAAAATAAAATATTAGATGTGAATGTCATAATTTTAGCTTGCTACCATTGATTTCCCTTCCTCAACATATAAAATTAAGAATTAACACCTGCATTTTGATGGTTTGCTTTAGTTGTAGCTTTTAAATGTAAGAATGTGTATTTTAATCTGTTTCAGGGGCTGTTTTCTTACCTCATCCCTGATTGGCACACTTGCACTAAGCCTTACAATACCTCTGACCATAATAGCTGATATGTGCTTGCAAAAGGTAAGCTATCCTTTATTGATTAAAGATAATGATATACTATTAAAATGGACTTGATCAATAAAATGTGTCATAATTAGAAACTTCAGATGAATGTTAGTTTGAAAGATCAATAGGGTACCTAGAGTTGTCCTATATAGCTGCTATAAAATAGAAGATAGGGAAGAATGTTGGTTTTTCTTATTGTGGAATTGAAAATGGCATTTAGGTCATCTAGCTCATCTTCTTCATTTTACGGATGAGGAAACTTAGGTACACAGAGGTTAAAAGATTTGCCTAACATACAGGCAGTGACTTGCAGTGCTGGATTTGAACCCAAATCCACTGTTCTTTTCTTGCTTACCATTTTCCCAGCTATGATTACAGATTTTTAAAATTTGGTAAGTTACTTTTAAAATAACAAATTTCAAGTAGTGAATACATGAGCTTTCACTATATCTTTATAAGGGTCTCCAGTGGAGAGTAACTTAGTAATTAAGGCAGACTTAAGCATATCTTCAAAATTATTTCAGAAACATGACCAAAAATAGTATCAATTTTAAATTGCAAAAACTATGGATTCTTCATTTTCAGGCAACATAGTAATAATGGTAATAGCAATGTGCTCATTATAGGTGAAATATATTAAAAATGAAAGTTAACTTTATGTATTAACTCTTTCATATTTGTTTTGTGGAGTTCTAGTCTGTTTTTTAACCTTACAAGGACAGATGAGCTATATTTTATCTTTCACTTCTCTCCTTAGTACATTATCCTCAAGATTGAGAGTGAGAAGAATATCAGACTAAAACTATATGTATAATGTTAGCATCAAAGTCCACTGAAACAAGGGTATTGTATAGAAAAAAAAGAATCTATTCTACTTTGTTCTTCTCTTACCCCTATCCCCAATACTGATTTGAGTATTATCATTGTTTTTTTGTGACTGGTTTTTCCCCTGTTTTATTATGGTCACCCTCAAATTTATCACCTACCTACTGGTCAGTCTTAGTGGCTCAGTGGATGGAGTGCTGGGCTTGGAGTCAGGAAGACTTGACTTCAAATCCAGCTTCTAATACTTCCTAGCAGTGTGACCCTAGGCAAGTCATTTAGTCCTTATCTGTAAAATGGGGATAATAATTATAACACCTACTTTCCAGGATTGTTGTTAGGATCAAATGAGACAATAACTGCAAAGTGCTTAGCACAATGCCTGGCACATAGTAAATGTTATATACATGTTAGCTGTTGCTGTGATGATGATAATGATAATGTTGTTTGCTTCAAAAGCAAATGTATATGTGAACAAAAGAAATCCTACTCTTAATTCCCCTACAATAGTAACAACAGCAACAGCACTATAATAACTCATTTTTATAAGGCCTTAAAAATGTTTATCTATTTTGATCTATTTTCTTAACCCACTTTCCCCCCCTCCCCCTCCCACCTGCCCTTTATATTACCTAGTAGGTTGGACAAGTAGTATTATACCTGTTTGAAAAAATGTCCAAAGTCAGATAAAGTGTGTGAGAACAAAGCTTAGAATCCAGGTTTTCTGAAGTTCTAAACTTTTAAAAGGTTAAAATCTGTCTTTCCCTTCTACCTTTCCTCCAAAACAAAACCCACTACGAATGTGTAGTCAAACAAAACAAATTCCCACATTGGCCATATTAAAAAAAAAGTTTCATTTTATACTCTTGAGTCCATTTTATACTCTTTATCAGGAGATGGGGCTACCTTTGTTTCGTTGTGAGGTTTCTGGAATCATAGTTGGTCATTGCAATGATCAGAGTTCCTATGTCTTTCAAAGTCATTTGTCTTTACAGTATTGTTATGGTATAAATTACTCTCCTGGTTCTGCTCAATTTACTCTGCATCATTTTATAAAAATTTTTCCTCGTTTGTCAGAGACTGTTGCTTCATCATTTCTTGTAGCATAGTAGTATTTCATCACATTTATATTTTATAGCTTGTTCAGCATTTCCCCAATTGATGAGTATCCCATTAATTTCTAGTTCTGTGCCACTGCAAAAAGATCTGATACAGACACACATAAATTTTTTTTCCCTCTTACTTTGATTTCTCAGGGGTATAGATCTGTTAATGATTTCTCTATGTCAAAAAGGGTATATGCACAGTATAATAGCTTTGTGGGCATAGTTTCAAATTACTTTCCAGAATAGCTGGACCAGTTCAGAGTTCCATCAGTAGTGCTTTAATGTACCTGTTTGCCCTTCCAGAATTTATGGTTTTCCTTTTTTGTCAACTTTGCCAATCTTGATGAGTGTGAGAATTTTTCTAATAGTGATTTATGTCACCTTTTTCACATAGCTAGTGATAGCTTGGGTTTCTTCTTTTGAAAAGTGCCTGTTCATATCCTTTGATTATTAGTTGGGGAATGGCTCTTGTTCTTTTAAATTTGAATCAGTTCCCTATATATCAGAAATGAGAAATCTGATAGTTGATGAGAAAGTTTTTTTTTCCCACTTACCTGCTTCTCTTCTAATTTTGGCCACATTGGTTTTGTTTGTGCTAAAACTTAAATTTTATGTAGTTAAAATTGTCCATTTTACCTTCTGTGAACCTTTCTATCTTGTTTGGTCAAGAACTCTTCCTCTATCCCTATTATCTACTGAGTATTTTCTTCCTTACTCCTCTAATGTGTTCATGATGTCACACTCTTAGTTCTCAGTTATTAAGCTCTTTGTCAAAGATTAAACCCCTTTTAATATAACATTTAAGTAGCATGAACAGAACATTATGATTTAAAAATATTTATCAATGTTTTCTCCTTATGAGTACTTGGACTTATTCATCGGTAAAATGGGAATAAGCAAAAACACTTTATGAACCTTGACTCCTTATAGAAATATAAGCTGTCCTAACCACACTATATGCCTAAACAACTGGGAAATGTATAAGTTAGATTGAAGGGATTTTAACTTAATTTTCTACTGAATTTGCTTTAAAATATTCCTAGTAAGAGGAATGATGATATATCATTGGATATTTTTCCTTACTTGAGTTTTGAAATGGAATATTCTGTACTTTCCAGCAGAGGGAGCCTTACCTATGAATGTAAGCCTTTCATCCTTAATTGTTTGCAGTCTCAAAGAGCAAGCAGAGCTTTTTACTTTTTTATTTTATAGTTGAAATCTTTCTTTTCATTAAAATTTTCAGTGTACTATATGTAAATTCCAAATTTAAAATCTTACTGGCCAACCATGGAAATTACATTTCTTCTTCCCCTTGTTCTTCTCATGTGTTAAGTTAGTTAATGGTGTTTGCATCAAAACTATGTCCTAAATTTGGTAGAAAAAAATGGGTTTGATGTGAATTTTTTGTTAATCTTTTGCTGCTTAGGTGGCTAATAACATCTTAATTTTTTAGCTATTTAGTTTTTGTATTTCCTTTTAAAATGCTGTTTTAATTGAAATATTTTCCATGAGATACTTAATCTAAGCCATTTTGAGTCAGATTAGAACTAATGGTATATCATAGCTACCTTATGAAAAGAACAAGTTTTTAAGAAAAAAGTTTTATTTCTTTTCTTTCAGTGAATTAAAAATTGTTACACCTAAGTAATTTAATTTTGATAGCTAATGTTAAGAGATACAACAGTTTTTAGCCAAAAGGTGATTCCTGGAGTTAGCCTAAGAACAAGGGAGAACAACAGTAAAGATAACCATTAAGTAAGAAATGAAAGGCACTAAGGAATGAACGTGTAGTGTAGTCTGAGGATCAAAGGTTACAGGATGCTATAGGAAAATTGTTACTGTTCTCTTGGGTAAAATACAAGAAAAGTATGCATTCTGTGTCGCTGGCTGTGCTGCTAACTTCTCCCTTCTTTCAGTTAGTTGGTACAGCTATCAGTCTTTAGAGGATAGTGGTTATATCTGAGTACCCAGATTTTTAATGTTAAAAGTAATAAAATTAGGTGCTTTATATTTTCTTCTTGGTATTAAACTTATCCATGCCAGTTTCCATAAATGAAAACTTACATTTAAGAAAAAAGTAATTGTGCCAGTAATAAATGAGTTTTCTTAATTTCTTTTCCCAGGTGCAATTTTCCTGGTTATTTTTTGCAGGTGCTATCCCTGTATTTTTTTCATTTTTCATTGTAACTCTACTATGCCATTATAATAACTGGGATCCAGTGATGGTGGGAGTCAGAAGAATTTTTGCCTTTATTTGTAGAAAACATCGAATTCAGAGGTAAGTTTTTTTAAAAGGAAAAATCTGTTTTTTAACCATAACATTGGTTCTTTATCAATATGATGACCATACAATCCTAGTTAAGCTTTTAGAGCTTTTGTGAAGAATAAAGATTGTACTTAAAATGCATAACCTGCTGGATAAACTAATAATAGCAAATTAATTCCTTTATTAGTAGGCATGTTTACTTTTGGTGTCAATAAACTCTTAGCTTAATAAAATTTTATTTGATTACTGGAGAAAAAAACTTTTTTGTTGTAGTTAATTTAGACACAGAAACTTTACTAAATAGGATAGAACTTTTTATAAAACCTTTTTTAGTTACTCTACATAATTATTTGCCTTTTTTTTTTAAAGAGTCCCAGAGGATAATGAACAGTGTGAGAGTCTCATTCCTTTGCACAGTGTTTCTCAGGAGGATGGAGCTATCTGCTGTTCATAAATAATAGGTATGCCTATAAATACATTTGAAAAAAATAAGTTGGCTGTATTCATTATGTGTGAGCTGACATCACTGGTGTTTAAGTGTTGTAGATTCCCAATACAGAATAGATTTCCCATTCATTTATTTATGGTAGAATTATCCAATTTACTTTTTGTGACTAGCATGACAAATTAGACCAACAACATCTATCTTGGGCCAATTGTCTTTTTTCTTTTCTTTTTATTAATATGCCATTTTAAAATTAAATGTGTTTTTCTCTGCTGTGATTTTTCTTTTGCCACCCCCATTCCCAGTATATCACATATAATACCTACCTATCTGAGCAAACCTGTGGATTTTGATGATTTTTATTTATATCAAAGGACAAGTAACCAAGTGGGGCAGAGAAGGCTGAGAACAGCATTATCATGGAATATAAAATAGAGCACATGGGAAAAGAGACTAGTGATATTGCATGGTTGCAGAGAGAAGACAGTGAACACCTGTTCATTTTGATAGGTTAGGCTGACTAGAGTGTTTCACCTTTTGGAATTCTTCTCAGGACTCATCTGTAGTATTTACAGTAGTCCAGTGTGAGAATTGCTAGTGAAGTATAAGCAATATTTAGTTTCAGCATTAGAATTTTTTCTAAGGATTATCTATTCTAACATAGTTTTTATAATATAAAAGGTTAAGGTTTATGAAAATTATAATCTAATGATATTGTCTTTATTTTTAGCTTGATGATGAAGCACTATACAGCGAAGAGACAATCTCCGACAAGGTTACATAGAAAAAATATTTCAGTGCCTACTCCAAAATGAATAATAATAGTTTCAGTTCTTTGAAACTCTAAAATACATATTTTCTCCTCATTCTTGTTTTGTTAAGTTTTATAATGAACTATTTTGCTACAAATGGATATCAATACAAGTATAGGATATTCCACTCCATCTGAAGAACCAACTTGCCTTACAGATCTCATGGGGTTCAGTTGGTGAAATTATCAAGGAAGAAAATGCTGATGTTAAAGAGACTTTGTTTTTACATTTTTGTTAAATGCTGGACTATGGAGCTATATATAAGAAATCTTTAAAGTCTGTAGATCAGTGTTTGTTTTAGGGGAGATGCAAAAGGCTAAGGTGCCTTGTAGGTACAGATTATATTTTTGTGTTGTGTAAACCATTGAATATAAACACCACAGAAATATAGTTTAATTTATGAAATAATACATTTTCTGAATCTGAGATTGAAAAAAATAAATCTTTGGAACAGGTTCTTTTGTTCTCTTACACTACATATACTATGTTATCTTTGTAAGAATTTTCTGTAGCATTATGTGCCTTGTGTGTTATAAATTCGACGACCCAGAGCAAGTTTTTAAAGGGGAAATAGTGTTATATGAGGGAGGATTAAGTACTTCTCAAGGTTATTGATATATAAACTTGACTTGCTAAAGCTGTGCTTGCTGTAAAGATTGGAAGAAATGGTCACTTTTCAATGAAGAAATTTTCATAATGGAATAATTTAGATTGATGAGATATGGCCCGTTATTAAAATAAAATACTGTTTAAACTGTTATTTGTATGTATGTGTATTACAAATGAGTCAAACAATTACTAGCTTTTCCACAAGCTTAAATGTGTTCATTTGTTGCAGAACTATAAACCACCTCCTTAGTTTTGTATTTCTAAATGAGCTTTTAAACAATTAAACTAAATTGAGAGAGAACCAAAAAGGGATTCTGTCATTTGAGGGTTTTGTTTGTTTTTGTACTTGAATAAAAAGCCCACTAAGATAAAATTGTATGTAAAACATTTAGCCCTTAATGTGACTTTAGATTCTTGAATGTATCTACTGTACAACTGCTTCTGGACTCTAACCACTATAGATGGCAGTGAATGAATGAGTCTTCTGATTTTTCCATGCTTATGACTAATGAATAACCCCTTCCGATTTCAAGCTTTTAAAGAAGGTGATTTAGTTTTCATTAAAACTACTTAACTAGATTGACATTTTAATAGTCACTTTGTAGTAATGTTACTTAAACTGGCCTCATTTAAGTTCTGAAACTCTTTGTGGCAATAGGAAAATGAGAGAAAGCTCAGCCCTCCAGTTCTAAACATTCTTGTTATATTGTTACTGAAAGTATTTTCGCATCATATATTCAAGCTATTTGTTCTTTAATATAGTATTATGGGTAAAAATTTGCCCACTTTCTCAGAACTAGTGAAAGTTCTTGGCAGCCCAAATTAAATTGATTTGGCTCTTTTTATTATCTTTTTAGGTTGTGTATCTGGGGGAAATAAAAGGTTTTTTGCTTTTTAAAGTACTTTAGGATTATCAGGGATTAATTTGGGCTTAGGATTATTTAATACATGCTTCTCATCTATCTTGCTGCCTGCCTTTTATTTTAGAAATACTTTTGCCAAAGCCAGGTAGGGTTAGAAAGAGGAGGTACAATTAACAATTAAAAAATTGGACTTCTGAATCTGGTTGGTGAAGGAGGCAGAAATGACATAATTTAAATGAAGTTTGGTGATATTTCCATATTTGGGGTTGTTGCTCATGCTTATCAACTCAAACTGATTTTATACCTATAGTCTGGCAGTGGAGATTTATTCTCATAGACAAATGAAGACATTTAAAATGCCTGCTCAGTCCTGAGAAGGAGAGAGATAGAGAGACACTAAATTCTCCAACTGCCTTGCTTCTGTCTAAAGAGGAAACCTCCTTCAAAGGGTACTCTTTTTTTATAGATCAGGGGTTCTTTCATAGACCCCTTTGATAGTTTGAAAAATCCATGGACCTTTTCTCAGAAAAATGTTTTTAAATGCAGATTGTAAAATACATAGGATTACAAAGGAAACCAGCTATTAAAATAACTATCAGAATATTTTTTATAAAAAGTTTAGATTCCAGGTTAAGAAGAAGCTTTGATCTAAATGAACAGGTAGCTTTATTAGCATCTGCCTTTCTCACCCAGTTTTTCTCCTTTGTTATTGAATTGTGTGGAGAGAGGAAATGTGTGGAAGGACTTTATCTTTTTCCTCTAAGTGTTTGGCCAGCAGAATTTGTGTATGTGTGAGCAATTTTATTTCCATTTTTGCACAGAGGAAAGATAGAGACCTACCTATGGAAATTATAGTAGCCAAGTCTCATGTTCATGATAAATGTTGGCTTGGGAGTTGGTGACAATTAAATGAGTACACATACTCATCGTCTTTAGTTGCATAGGTTGCTTCTTCTAATTTCTGCTGAGCCATGTTTAGCCTAATAGTACAGAGGTAGAAGTTTTGTTACCTTGAGTTAATTTTCTTTTTCTCTTTCTATACATAATTTAAATGTCATTATTATGTAATATTTTAAAAATTTGACCTTGATCCAGAAAAGCTTGCTAGTTGTTTGGCATGAAGGAAGACTTTATGTTTCAAGCGAGCATTCAAATTGGAAAGAACTACAGTGAGGTATTTTTAAAAAATCTAATATGAGTGCCTTTTAAAGCTGGAAAAGCCATTAGAGTATATTGGCAACCAACTCCATATACTTGTTCCTTTAAATAATGTTTGATATGTTATTGAGATGTTGGCTTCTCTCAAGATGGCTTAATTAATTCTTTCCATTAAGCTGATTTTTTTTCCCTACTGGCAGCTAAAAGAGTAAGGTGGTTTATGTAGAAGTGAGCTTTGCAAGGTTAAATGAGTACTCTCTCAGGTATATTGCTTTATTTTAGGAAGAATGTTAATGTCTGCTTTAAAATCAATCACATATAGCCAAACTTATGCCATTTTTGGTTTGCAAGGCATGCCTGCTGTCTGCAAGCCCAGTAAGTCTATAGAAATAACCTGTATTTTTTGGTTAGCTTAACATTGTCTAGCACATAGTAGGCACTTAATAAGAGTTTATTGGTTTAAAATGAAGTGTTTTAAGAAAGGAGGCATTAATTAGGAAAGCATGCTTATTTTTTTGAAGTAATAAAGGGACAATATAAGAGGAAGGATTAAGTTCATCTGAAGGTTATATTAATATGTAAACTTTAAATGAAACATGTAATTTATTTAGTTAATTCTTTTAATCTTCCATTTCTATATGTAAAGGAAAGAATGAGCAGAAGAATATATAGTAGGTGATGCATAGGAACTTGGTGCAAAGAAATAAGAAAGAAAGAAGAAGAAATAATAAGTGTGTGTGTGTTATCTGAAGTTTTAGCAAATTATTAGTGAACCGAAATTTTAAAATAACATCATACCCATGTTGCAGGTGGTACGTGTTGCAGAATTCAGTATTGAAATTCTCTTTGATATATTTCACTAACACTTTAAAGTAAAATATGGCAAAAACTTCTTATATCAAAATGAGGTTTTTAGACCCTTAATTTCTTTCAGAAGAAGTCTGTGCTCTGTTTGGATATGTATGTAAATGATACATAGGACATTTGCCTTTTGTAAGGAATGGTTCTCAGAAATCGCCAATATACAGCAGATGTTTACGTATATGTTTTTGATCCAGTAGGATGAGCTTCTAGAGCAGCTAAATTTTTTTCCCTTTGTCTCTTCAGTGCTCAGCACAGTGGCTGGCACATAGTAGATATTAAATAAATGTGTGCTGGCTAAATGATCTGTCTTACCAGCTCATAGTAACTAAAATAAGAGGCTGTGTGGTGTAATGTTAGAGAATTGGTCTCAAGAGTCAGGAAGACTTGAGTTCAAGTTCTGCTTCTGACACTCGTGTGTGACCCTAAACAAGTTTACTTATTACTCTAGGCAAATTTTTAAGAGTATAAGTTATAGAGAAGATGCTGATCTACATTGAAAAAGGAAATTCCTCACCCAGAGCTTCTTATACTAATGAAATCATATATCCAGTAAAAATAAAACCTAAAATACACATCACAGTTGGAAATGTCTAATTATAGTAATGGAAAGTTATTTTTGCTGTTGAATATTAACTCACAACATTGGAAAACTTTGTTTTAATTCATTTTATTAGAATACATTGTTTTGTTCTGACATTTTGATTCAAAAAGTAGACACCTGCATCTTAAAAAAACTAATAATTTATTTTGAATAATAGTGACTTATTTGTATAGCACTTTAGTTTGCGAAGTCATCCACATATATCATCTCATTTGATCACTATGATACTGTCAGGTGGGCAGGACAGGTAATTCATATTTCACAAATAAGGTTCAGGTTAAGGGACTTGACCCAAGGCTACTGGGTTAGAAACTAATTGTCATTTAACAACAAATCAAAATCTGGTAGTTTTGGTTAATTTGTCAAAATAACATAACAACTAGCATAAATAGAAGAAAATTTTCATTTGAACACACTTATTACTTCAGTTGTCTCATTTGCTACTTAGAAAAATTCTTTGAACTTTGCTTGTGAAATAGTAGCTCTGAAGTGAAAAAGGCCTGAATTTGTGATGGCATAGGCATGGGTTTATTCAATTTAGTACTAAGCATTTAGTAAGTACCAGTACCAAGGCACTAGGTAAAGAAACCTTGTTATGAGTCAAGGTCTGTGGTCTCATAGAAAATTTGAATCTAACACAATTTATGTGTATGTGTATGTGTATAGAGGGGGAGACAGATTGCTTTAGTTGAAAATTTTTTAATTCACTCTAGAATTAATACTTTAGATTTGATTTCTTCCATAAAAGCAAAAGTAGTACTTTAATACTTATTGTCCAAAATATCCTATTATGCTAAGCATGCAGTATTTCCCTACATAATTTTCTGGTGGTTATTTTTAACTCAAGTACCATTGAAATCAGCAGTATGAAAGTATCCGCTAATTTCAGTAAAAAAAGATTTTTTTTTTTTTTTGTTACAAAAAAACAATATACAGGTTGGAAAGTGCTGATAATAAGTCTTTTCCTGTATGGTACAAATAACTTTAACACTTTACTTACCAGTATTGGTATGAGAATATAACTTCAACTTCCTACAGAAAAAATCCAGTGGAAATCAGACGTTAGACAGTGAGGGAATATATAACATAATAGCAAAAAAAAAAACCCAAACAAACCCATTTTTGAAGGCATCGTTACCCTAATTAAGTATAGCAAAACATCATGGTCATATTTGGACTTTGTGTTTTGTAAAACCATTGTGTTTTTGCCATGCACATCCAAGTACAAATGAGAGTGGCAATGTAGTGAGTGTGTTGGAGTGAGAATCTGGACAGTGGGTTCCAATGCCAGCTGTGCCATCTATTATCTATGTAATCTTGGTCAATTTATTTAACCCATTAGAGTGTAAGTTCTTTGAGGGCAGGGACTGTTAGACTTTTGATTTTAAATCTCTAGCCCTTAGCATAGTACCTGGCATATAGTAGGTACTTAATAAATGCTTGTAGATTTACTTGACTACTCTGGACCTCAGTTTCCTAATCTATAAAATGAAGGAATTGGAGTCCAAGTCCATCAAGGCAGATGTAAGTTCACTGTAAGGAAAATTTTTAAATAGTTGAGTTGCCCTCAAGTGGAAAGGGTTGTTCACACATGGCAAGTCTTTGAACAGAAGTTAACTTGCTAGGATTATTGTAGAGAAGACTCCAGTTCATTTATAGTTTGGA